TCAGGAGACAGCTCTGGTGTGATAACAACCCCCAGATCTTTCTCTTTCTGATTCCTGAAGGACTTCATCTTGAGGCGAGAAACAATGGGCAGAGTTTTTCACCCTATGCCCCCTGTTACCTAGCCGTAAAATAGGTACCTGGGTGTTAGTCAGCTGTCACGAGTTGCTTACTGGGGGTGGAGGCCTGGTCGAGGACCGGGCCGCGGGGACACTAAAGCCCCGAAATCATCTCAAGATAACCTCAAGGCCTTGAATGTGGTGGGTGTTCAGGGGTGCTTTGTGTAGCCATTGTTGTTTCAACGGAATTGCATCCAGTCTTGATTATGCATCATGGCCAAAATGTGTCGCATGCAATATATAATTTTCTGGGGGGAGCCCCGTCGGCTCCCCGGAGCTATCCCAGGCTGATATGCTAATGTCAGACTTTGGCATCAGTCATGTGTATGGAGTTCTTAGGCCTACCGGGGACCACGGCCAGAACCGGGCCCCCTCAGAGAGGCAAGGGGAGCAATGGCCTATAGAAGCCCCCGTGTAGTTGGAAGCATTCTATGTCTGCCATCGACCGGAACAGGCACCCAGAAAGGTAAGCGCCCCAAAACAAACCCCTATTCTGGTTAAAATTGCTACCTAATACCGAACTAGTGGATAGAACTCCCCAACCGAAAACAAGCAAATTAGTGTGACGTCACACACTGCCGCGCCGCTGTCTGCGCAGCTCCCCCCTCCCCGGGAGGGGGAAGGGGGAGCCCCAGACCCCCCGCGCCGGCTACCCACACCTCAGTTCTTGAGGCTGATGCTATAGGCGATGGTCGTGTGCTCTGGCTCCGGTGTCGCTACTGCACTGTGCTTTGAGTGTGGTGTTAGTTTTGTGGGTGCGAGAGCCAGGAGTTATCTTCAGTACTCGGGCTGCATGCGCCTAGGGCTGCCTTCCCTAGGTGCCCTGTAAGTACTGCCCTTGGGGCTTGGGGCCACCTTCCACAGGCTCCTCGGGGTCTGCCTCTGCTGGTCCGTTTTACCTTTCGGTTTTTCGGCCGCCTGTTGGGCTCTTGGGTGTTCTGTTCTCCCTTGTTACCGGCAGGTAAGAGGCAGTTTGCACTGGTAGGGGCGCAGGGTGCTGCTCAGCTTGTAATTCCCGACATCGCGGCCGGCTCTGTTCCTTGGGGTTCGCTGTCCTCTTGCGGGGTTTTATTTTTCTTTTTCTTTTTGCCTGGTGGGGGGTTCTGTCATTTTATTCAGTTTGTTTTTGCCCTTCCACTGTTCTCCTCGGTGGCGCCCCCTGCTAGGTCCCCGTGAGTGTACACGTCCCTGGGGTTCAGCTTTAGAAGTTTGCTTGGTAGTTTTGGGCGCCGGTTTGCAGCACCCTGCCTGGGACTACCTGAGCGCGAGTCCTCTTCAAGTAAACGCTCAGGACCCTGGGAATCCCCTAGGGGGCGCGTGGGTCCGATGGATGTGACCCCGGAGTCCCCACTCGCTGTGTGCGAGTTTGAGGGTTGCTCGGTCCCCTTGTCTCAGGGTGACCCTCATTGTTTTTGCCTCTGCCACGCTGCCTGTTGGGTCGGTGATACTTTCGACCCCGAGTCCTGTGAGTGTTGCTGCTTGCTTGTGACTCAATTTACCCAATCCTCTGATGATTCTATTCGGGTACAGGCGGCACGTGCGTTGCAGTCTAGGTTTCGTCTGTTGCAACGCGCTCGGTTGGTTGCTTCCCCGGATGCCCCGGGGCTGCCCCGCTTTGCTTTTCGAGACCCGGACTTGGGGGTGGGGGTCGCTTCGATCCTGGTTCAGTCCGCACCTCCTCGTCCTTCCCCTTCTGTTCGTTCTGGTCCCCCGCCCCTGCTTCCGGCCCCGAAGCGTCTGAGGGTTTCGGGGTCGGAGCAGGGGTTACTTGATCTCGAGACTCGGGCAGCTTCGGGGGTTGCCCCTTCCGGGGGGGCGGCAGAGGCATTCGAGTCTTGTCTCCCGGCCGAAGCTTCAGGGTCTGACCAGTGGGCCCCCCTTCCTCCAGCTTTTCCGGCTGCTCCGTCCTTGTCTTGTGGGGTCGGGGCTTGGGGAGAGGACTCGGCCTCGGGTCCTGTGGTGACGGACCTCGAGGCTGGGGAGGGGCTGACTTGGGGGCCTTGGGCCCCGCTGGACCCCGCCTGGGTTTTTCTTCCCACTGAGCGGGGCTTATTGTTACAAGGAGTGGGGTTTTCTTTCCCCCCCTCTGCGTACGAGTTGGATTTGGTGTCGGCCCCTCCCCGGGTACGTCGGTTCCGTCCTTCCGGAGGTTTTCGGCTTATCGCATCCAACCTGGTGTGGTGCGAGCGGCCTTTGCAGCTTACCTCCTGCGTGACCCGGATTATGCCTCGGAAATGGATCCGTCCACGTTCAGGTTTGGGACTTCGTTCCCTTTCTGGCTCCGTTACGAGGTTCCGGAGTCATCCTGGCTAGCAGACTGCCCCTTGTTTGGTCTGGATTCCTGGCATTCCTTCTGTCGTTCCCGCACGCTGGAGTGGCGGGAAGCTTCCACGGTGCTTCAGGTTTTCCTGGGGGGTGACCTTGAGTACCTGAATGAGTGCTTGTTTGCCCCTGCCCTTCCCCGCGATGTGGGCGTTATTCAGCTCCATGTGCAGGTTCCCTCCCTTTCGGCGGCGCTCGTGGCGGAGGACTTGCGCGCTCGGGGCCTTTTGTGTTCGGCCTTGCGGTTCTTTTCCCTCCTGGAGCTGTCTTCGGATTAGCTCGTGGAGGATGTGGGGACGCTTGGGTCCGTCCCGGGGTCCGGCACCTTGTCCTCGGCTGCGCGTTCGTCGGCTGCCTTGTTGAAGCTGTTCACGCCGATTTTGCGGGATGCGGTTTCCCTGTTCTATGCTTCCCGTCTCGCGTGTCGGCAGGCGGTGCTGGGTTCCTCCGTGGAATCTGCTTGGGCTCTGGCTCTTAGGCGTTCTTCACCTTTTTGTCCTCTCCTGTTTGGGGAGTCGGCCGTGGCGCAGTTTATTCAGGCTGCGTCGGCGGCTTGTCGTCCGATGTCGGACTTGTTGGTCCCTCTTTTTCTGTCTGTGCGTAGTTAGCTCCGGGGAGCCGACGGGGCTCCCCCCAGAAAACCAGCGTTGAATGTAATGAAACGCCATTTTCTGGGTGAGTCCCGGAGGCTCCCCGGCATCCCTCCCTCCCTCCGGTCGGCGGTTTTTCGCGTTTTTGACATCCAGCCTCAAGAACTGAGGTGTGGGTAGCCGGCGCGGGGGGTCTGGGGCTCCCCCTTCCCCCTCCCGGGGAGGGGGGAGCTGCGCAGACAGCGGCGCGGCAGTGTGTGACGTCACACTAATTTGCTTGTTTTCGGTTGGGGAGTTCTATCCACTAGTTCGGTATTAGGTAGCAATTTTAACCAGAATAGGGGTTTGTTTTGGGGCGCTTACCTTTCTGGGTGCCTGTTCCGGTCGATGGCAGACATAGAATGCTTCCAACTACACGGGGGCTTCTATAGGCCATTGCTCCCCTTGCCTCTCTGAGGGGGCCCGGTTCTGGCCGTGGTCCCCGGTAGGCCTAAGAACTCCATACACATGACTGATGCCAAAGTCTGACATTAGCATATCAGCCTGGGATAGCTCCGGGGAGCCTCCGGGACTCACCCAGAAAATGGCGTTTCATTACATTCAACGCTGGTTTTTTGTAGTTTCCCATGATGTTGAATGCATTTTAACAATATAAGAGGGAAAAAAGTTGGGGAGGGGGGCAGGTGAGATTTTTTTCTCTGTATCTACTACTTGTTATATTTAATGCCAATGCAGCAGAGTGGTTAATGTGATGTATTGATAAGTTATATTAATATGATTTCTTTGTGCATTTGAAGGGAGGCTTTGGGGGTGGAATTTCTATATATACCACACTGCGTATGTGGGTAATGTGTGAAACCTTGATTTGGTATCAGGGCAATGTATCGGGACTCATAGTGGATTTAGTTGAATAATAGGTTAAAATACTTAGCGTATCGTGGTCCAGTGGTTTATGGGCGTGTGCTTGGGAGTACCCAAAGTGTAGGTACAAATCTTCCTCAATGAAAAAAAAATATTTTCTCATTGATAAATATCACGTTAATGTGATTTCTGTGTGTTTTTGAAGTTGGGGTGTAAGGTTTGGGATACTACTGCCCTTCCACCCAAGTTCTTGTGGGTCATGCGTAAACACTTGGACTGGGTTCAGTAGGGATCTCCAGAATACCTGTGTTTTCATTAGAAACCCCGTTGTATGTTTTTTTTTTTTACAAGTCGGCAGTGGTCTAGTGGTAGAGTATGTGGCTGGCAATGCCGGGGTTGTAGGTTCATGCCCATCTTACTGCCCTAGTGGATTTCTCATTAATATATATATATAGTATATATCATGTTAATGTAATTTGTCTGTGCATCAGTAGTAATAATAATCATTAGTTATTAAAAATAGAGGGCAATTACAGTACTGTGAATATATATAGTGGGTACTGTATATGTTTAAAAAAAACTATTTACACAGTGCATTTTAAGCATGTATGTAGTTGGATTATTCCAGTTGGGGATGGGAAGCTTGTATTTAGGTTTATTGAAGTCACCTAAGCCATCTACTGACCTTTTCTAAGGTGCAGATCAATTGTTGCCTAACACCTGGGTACCTCAAGTGCTATATAGTCATAATGGTTTAACGCTTTCTCCTGATAGTTCCTTTCCCTACTGGGTACCTATTTTACTGGTAGTTGACCAATGGCATCAGATGAAACTCTTTGTTCTGACCGTGGATGGAACCCTGGTCCCTTGATTGTGAGCCGAAGACATAAGTCATTGTGCTACAGGATGATACAAGTTTTGCTGACAACTGTTTGTTGTGGCTATAAGAAGTATATTATCAGCTAGCAGTATACAAAAAGGCTCATATCCTCCATAAACACAGTTCTACTAGGTTGAATAAACAAAATAATGAAAACAAAAATATGGTAATGGAACTGAAAGTGAAATGGTATTAGCTTTGTAAATAAATGATCTTCATTTATTTTCCAGATGTGCCAACGTGAATTTTGCTCGAAGAAATACATGCAACAGATGTGGCAGAGGTAAGTAAATCACTTAAAATGATTGTACTGTACAAAAATGATAGGTAACAAGGTCTTGATAATATTAACACAGTACAGTCAGTCATCATTATACATGATGACTGACTTGCATAATGAGTTTTGAAAAATGCACATTATGCAAGTCAGCATTTGCATAATGCTGACTTGAAAATTTAAGTTTCAACTCAGTTTTGAGACTGACTTGAAAATTTGAAGTCGGTTTCAAATGCATGTATAATGTGTTGACAAGTTGATAAAACAGAATACACTCTGGAGAAGGTGTCTTGGTAAGCATTTTGTTAAAATTGTAATTCACATAGTGTATCAAATTGGTATTATACTTATCCCTGCCCCGGTTGTTACGGCTTACATGTCCATTGCTAACTGCTAAAAATTGGCTTAACGGAATATTCCCTTGCTATTTGGTGGCCAACTGTGTTTTCTAGACAAAGATGTTTAACCACTTATCTATGTTTTTTTGTGTACTCAGGAGGCGGAACGCCCAGTGGTCGTGATGGCATCGTTGAACTTCTAGGTAATGGTGGTCAGGTTAAATTCCTAATTAATGTTACTTTATGGTAATAAGTATTCCATCCATCAGCATTAACTCTCAATTTGTGTAAGACTGGATTGAGGCAAGATGTGGGTGCTGGATTGGTTTTAGTCCCTCCAAATGATAGGTAATAACGTTATGCAGTACAATAGGGCAAACTCCTGGGCGTTGCAAAGGGTTTGTCTTGACTTTCCAGGCATGCTCTATTCATTCCCAGTTCTGGCCTGTTTTATAGAATGGATATATCTTTACAGTAGTGTTAACACGCACGAACACACCACCTTTCACTGCCTCGCCCAGTTACCATCATATCATGGTAACAGCAAGGGGGATGCCCATAGAGTAAAAGTCATGGGTTTTATGGAATGAAAGACGTTACCTCTTGGATAGAACATATGAAACAGCAGAAGGCTTATTGGCTCATGCAAAGCAGCTATAATTTATGTTGACCAGACCACACCCAGACCACACAAGTCACAATCGACTTGAGAATGGTCCAGGACGGAACGAAACGTCGTCGTCCGTTCACCTTCCAGTGTGTGGTCTGGTCAACGTTCTGCAGCCACGTTATTGTGACTCATCGCCTGCAGCTATAATTTATTCCCAACCACATTTGCTCCTGTCTAACCTTCACATGGAAGTCCCAACAATCCCACATCTATTATGTGGTAATCAGTTCTATAAATCTTCAACACTATTTTTAAACTAGTGATTACCAAAGTCTTCTGAATCTAACTTATGATCAAGGTATGAATCAAGGTATGATCAAGGTAACTTGTTCAGTTTTTATTCGTTGTTGTGTGTTATTTGTGGATATATTTTTATATAATTTGATATATTTTGTTGAGGTGGTCTTTTGTGTATTTAGTGCGTGTCCTATTAATATTTATCTTATTATATTGTAATTTAATTCGTTTGTATAGTTTCGTATTTAATTCGTGGTTGTATAAAGAAAAATTGTCATCCACATTTCCGTGGAAATAAACATTCCATGGAAATATTTGTGCCGTGAGTGTGGATCACTTAATTCTTCTGGGCTTCATTAGTAGTCAGGGAAAGTAGAAAATTCCAGTTTGGAGCAGGATGCTGCTTCTGGAAACTTTCCTTATTAAGACTACTCAATAGCTCGGTCGATAGCTTCGGCGTCACGCGTGGGGTCTGCGGTTCGAGTCTCCTAGAGCCCAGGTGAATGGAATGGTTGTATACAGGTTCTGTTCTGTGCTTGGATTATATCCTTCTTGCCCTGGAGTTCCTAATACCAGGGATAACTTTTATCCTTCTGTATGCTTTCTAGAATTTTTTTGTTGGTTGCCCAAAACTGAACTGTATAATCTAAATGGGGACCTTACAAGGGCAAGATAATGCTGAATAATAGCATTAATTGTTTTAGCGGTTTTGTTTATTTGGTTTTGTTTGTTTGGGCCTGTTGGTCATTTTGTTCATTTGTGGCCAACTCCTTTTCTGGTGACGAATGAGACGGCAGGCTTCCATTGCTTGTGGCTGCTTGGGAGGTTAGGCCGGGGGTGCATCATATGCAGTGTCCGGTGGCGGCTTTACAGCGTTACCTGAGGGCCACCAGTTCTGTGTTGGTGGAAGTGCTCTGAGTTGCTCTAGTTTCTCTGGTTCCCATGTTCCAGGCTCGTGTGTGTCTCGTTGTCTTCAGTGTACTAAAGACTCGCCAGCTGGTGGTCTACCCATGTGCCCATGATGTTCGGAATTATGCCACTCTTTCGGCTGCTTTTGGCAATATGTCTCGGGACGATATTTGCTTGTGTTGCTTGGGGCACCTGTTGCGGCCGCCTGTCTCTTCCTCGCGTTGAGACCTGCGGTGCAGCTGCCTCCCTGGTATGTCCCTGTTTTTTGTTCTCTGTGGGTAGTTAGCTTTAGGAAGCAGACAGGGGCTCCCCACAGAAAACCAGCATTGAATGTAATAAAACGGCAGTTTCTGGGTGAGCCTCGGAGGCTCCCTGACACCTTCCCTCCCTCTGGTCAGTGACATTAATCATTCAAGAACTAAATTGGTGGGTTGCCGGCTCACCTGGGCTGCGGGGAGTGGTAGCCGGATTAACGAGCGAAGGGCTAGTTGGGTGAAGACTTTCTTTCTGGAGGAGTTCTTTTGCTCTTTTGAGGATGTAGATCACAATTTTCAACCAGACAGTGGTCTGTTTTGATTTGCCGATATCTCTGGCTGTCTTCCCTGGTTGATGGTAAGTATGATATACTTTAAATGTAAACTGTTAATAGGCCATGCACCTATGCACCTCTGAGGGAGGGGGGCCAGGTTCTGGCTCTGGTCCCTGGTAGGCAACAAGAACTCTGACACAGGTGATCCCAAATACGATAGCACTATATCAGTGAGATTAGCTTCAGGGGAACCTCCGTGACTCCCAGAAACTGGCATTTCATTACATTCAACGCTCGTTTTTTGTAACTGTGGTGGACGGTTAGAAAAGTAAAATGAGAAAGTGGTGGTGGCCAAACCCGTTAGTAGTTTCAAAGTGTTATGTGACAGTGTACTGGGAAGATGGGACACAATAAGCATAGCTCTCATCCATGTAACAACACTTAGGTAATTACACACTCGAGTAAAATGAAACAAATTAAACTGAGGTCTATAGATTTGTCACATGGGCGACGGCAGAAATGTTACCCAGCTTTCGAGAACATTCAGAATTTGAACCTTTAAACACTAGAGGGAAGAGAGATGACATGGTTGCAATGCTCGTAAATCACAAAATGAACTAGGACAGACGGTTCCAGTTGGTGATATTACATAGAGGACATTAGTTAAAACTGGAAATAGGCCCCAGGAATATAATTTAAGTACAGTACACTATTTTCAGTTTGTGTAGTGAATATGCAATGATCTGAAGGAAGTGTAGTAGATGATGCAAATGCAATTCACAGCTTCAAAAGTTGGCAAGATAATACTAATAGTGTAGGAAATTTATCCTGTAATGAAGTTGCCCAATAAATGTTCTTGCTTAAATGAAGGCAAGAACTCAAAAGAACATCTGTTCACACCCATTTTCTGTGTACATGCTCATATTACATGTTTATCTGAGTTTACCCAAGAGCCACTAACACTAGTGGCCTTCAACGAGGACAAGAAGCCGGAGGCTTGTCGAAGGTCCCCCCCCCCCATTTCCCTTGATGGTCTTTTCCGTCTGTACTTTAAAACCCAATAGAGCTTTGGCATTAACGGCTTCAGCGGGTAGGCTGTTCCATGGGTTAATAACCCTGTGGGTGAAAAAGCATCTTCTGTTCTCAGTCCTACATTATGGCTTGTTGACCTTGAAACCATTGCTCCTTGTTTGTGTTACACCTAACCTTTCTAAAGAAATTTTCCGGATCATGGCGGCGATCGTCCTTTACCTATACCTGTGTCGTTGAAGATGACCACGACTTCAATATACAGTATGGGTTGAAGGCATAACTTGCGCAAATCATCAGCATCAATCTCTCGTCCCAACCTATTTGGGTCCAGCAGCAAGACAAGTCGAAATGGCGGGAGATAGGTTAGGATGCAGTGGATGACCAGCAGTGTCCTGTCCCCCCTCACTGCACCCTAGTTGTACTCCACAATGCTTTGCTGGGTCCACCTGCCTGCCTGCCTGCCTGCCTGTTGAACAATTCTGATGGTTTCCTCCACGCAGTATCCCTCACCTGGTTTTGCCCGCCAGTTGGAGCAGTTTACTGGAGTGTGGCCACTGTTGTATGCAAACAGCTACTAGGAGCCACAGGTGAGAGTTGAGCGCAGGTGGGGACCAGAGCAGACAAATCATCCAAAGGTACAATTGTTCCCTGTCAGAGGTACTACCCCTCACTGACACTCCAGACACCCCAGACACCCCATATGTATACATGTGAGGTGTAAAACTATATACACATGTATATAGTTTATGTAGGAAGAAAGTGGGGATTGAGGGCAGAATGCAATGTACAGTACAGCATTTGTATTTTTAGGGGTTTCATTTTTATTTGTATTGCAATATGATTGGCATCAGGGACTGGTAATACCTTTCTCGATCACCTGTGATCAAATACAATTTCAGATCGTAGTGGATCAGGCTCTGCAGCAGCGGCAGCAGCAGCAGCAGCGGCAGAAAAAAAGCGTCAGCTGGGCATAGAAATTGGCAAAGCTGCGGCAGAAAAGTCACATGGCTTGTTTAGTGCAGATGACTGGCAGTGTAGCAAGTAAGATTAATTTGCACAAAAATTGATTTTTTATATAATTTTGTTAATATGTGCATTGCCTATATAAAATAAATTTGAATTGCAAGTCATGTTACAATATATTTTCTTGCTGTTGACTATGTTTTGGCATTAAAATTAGGGCTGCAGTATGGAATATGATGTTTACACACAGAAATCACAATAGCGTGATGCATCAAATGAACAAATCCACAAGGGCCGTGACGAGGATTCGAACCTACGTCCGAGAGCATCCCAGACGCTGCTTTAATCGACTGAGCTACGACATGGTGTAAGAATTGCAACCAGAAATTCTACTGAATTTACTTGGATCCTGCAGCCTCTCCGAGACACAAACCAGGATTTTACACAATTTCCCCGTGCACTCGAGCTATGTCAATAGGCCGTTCAACCTCTTCGCCCTCACTTCATTACACACAGAAATCACGATAGCGTGATGCATCAAATGAACAAATCCAAGTAAATTCAGTTGAATTTCTGGTTGCAATTCTTACACCATGTCGTAGCTCAGTCGATTAAGGTAGCGTCTAGGATGCTTTCAGACGTAGGTTCGAATCCTTGTCACGGCCCTTGTGGATTTGTTCATATAAGGTTTGTGACGGAGCTGGATTTAGCAAATAGCCAGTTGGGTTTGATGTAGGTGTGGAGAGAGTATGGTGTATAGTGGAAAGGATGATGGTGAGGGTGGTGAAGGTGTTGGAGCGGTAGGCTGTGTTGGTGAGGAGGGGGGAGTGTTTTCGTTTTCGACTGGGCAACAGAAAATAACCTGATGTTTAACAGTGAATTCCAGGTACTCAGGTATGGTAAAAATGAGGACCTTAAATATAATACAAGGTACAAAATACCATCAATAGTAGGAAAGCAACATGTAAAGGACTTGGGAATAATGTGAAAAATGATAGGATGGATTACAAGAACTTTCAAATCCAGGGATCCCATCACAATGGTTGTACTATACAAATTACTTGTGCAGTCCCATCTTGGGTATTGCTCAGTACTCACTCAACCCTTCATAGGAGGGCAGATTGCCGAAATGGAGGGAATTCAGAGAACATATACGGCATACAGACGCGATAAAGTACCTAAATTATTGGGATCATCTCAAAGCTCTCCAAATGTACTTACTAGAAAGGAGACGAGAAAAATATCAAATAATATACACATTGAAAATACTGGAGGGCCAGGTCCCAAAATCTACACAGTAAAATAAGAACATACTGGAATGAACAGTGTGGAAGAAAATGAAGAATAGAACCAGTGAAGAGCAGGGGTGCCATAGGCACAATCAGACAACATTGTATAAACATCAGAGGTCCACAGTTGTTCAACATCCTCCCAACGAGTATAAGAAATATTGCTGGAACAACTGTGGACATCTTCAAGAGAAAACTAGATAATTTTTTCCAAGGTGTGCTGGACCAACCAGGCTGTGGTGGATATGTGGGCCTGCGGGCCGCTCCAAGCAACAGCCTAGTGGACCAAGCTCTCGCAAGTCAAGCCTGGCCTCAGGCTGGGCTTGGGGAGTAGAAGGACTCCCAGAACCCGATCAAGCAGGTATCAAGCAATGTAGGTAATACATTCTTGTTGATACTGTAGTTGTTACATCTACAGGTGAGGAACTGGAGATAAATATGGATATCTTCGTAGGCTTGATTTATTGTAAGAAACAGATCAAATCTTGGGTACACCCACTAGTCCTGCTCTGCCTGGGGTATGAGTGCTGTGGCCCTATTCCTGCTGGTGTCAGAGATCATGTGGCTCTAGAAGCCTCTTAACTGACCACATATTAAAGGATGACATGGATGGTGAGGTGGGGTGTACCCTGTACTTACCAAATTCTGCTTGCAGAGGTTGAGCTTTAGTTCTTTGGTCCTGCCTCTTGACTGTCAGTCAACTGGTGTACAGATTCCTGAGCCTATTGGACTCTATCATATCTACATTTAAAACTGTGTTTGGAGTCAGCCTCCACCACATCACTTCCTAATGCATTCCATTTATTTACTGCTCTGACACTGAAAAAAAATTCTAATATCTTTGTGGCTAATTTTGTTTTCAATTTCCACCCATCCTCTTGTACTACCTGTGTTAAATAATGTTATTCTCTACCCAATCAATTCCCCAGATAATTTTGTATGTGGTAATCATGTCTCGCCCAAACTCTTGTCTTCTAGCGACGTGAGATGCAATTCATGTATCCTTTTCTTGTAACTCATACCTAGTAGTTATGGAACTAGTCTAGTGGCAAACTTTTGGACCTTCTCCAACTTCATCTTATGCTTGACAAGATATGGACTTCATACTGGAGCCTCGCACTCTAGAATTGGTCTGACATGGGGTATACAACATTCTAAATGATTCCTTACACAAATTACTAAAGGCAGTTTTGATGGTAGCCAGTCTCATATGTGCTGCTGTTGGTATCATTTATATGTTGGCTTCAGGAGACAGGTTTGGTGTGATATCAACACCTAGATCCTTCTCTCTGTCCATTTCATGTTGGATTTTGTTTCCCATTTGGTACCTTGTGTCTGGCTGCCGCCTCTCTCCACCTAGCTTCATTACTTTACACTTATTTGAGTTAAACTCTATTAGACATTTGTTGAACTATTCTTTAAGCTTGTCCAGGTCATCTTGTAGCCTCTTGCTATCTTCCTGTCTTAATCTGCCTCATAATTTTTGCATCATCAGCAAATGTTGAAAGGAATGAGTCTATTCCCTCTGGGAGATCATTTACATATACAGTACAGGTATCAGAAACAGGATAGGTCCAAGAATTGGAACCTGTGGGACTCCACTAATCTCATCTCACCACTCTGAGACCTTGCCCTTGACAGTGACTCACTGTTTTCTTCTGCTTAGGTACTCCCTTATCCACTGGAGTTTCTTCCATGTTATTGCTGCATGCATTTTCAACTTATGCACTTGTGTATCTTATGGGGTACTGTCAGACTTTCTGGCAATCCCAAAAAATATGCAGTGTGCCCACCCTTCTCGTGTCAAATTTTTGTCACCTGTTCATAGAATTCTGTTAAACCTGTAAAGCAAGATTTGCCATCCCTGAACCCATTCTGGTGATGTGTTGTAAAGTTCTTTCTCTCCAGATGTTTCTACTAGTTTTTTCTAGTGATCTTCATCACCTTGCATGGTATGAAAGTTAGGGACACAGGCCTAACTTCAGTGCCTCCTGTCTGTCTTCCTTGTATATTGGGACCACATTAGCCATCTTCCAAATTTTTGGCAGTTCTCCTGTTACCAGTGACTTGTTATATACCATTGAGAATGGTAGGCATAGTGCTTCTGTACTCTTTTTATATCTATGGTGAGATTCCATGTTGGTCACAGCCTTTGCCACATCACATTCAAGCAAATGCTTCCTCACCTCCCCACTGATACTCTTGAACTGGTCCAGTGGTGCCTGGTAAGACATTTCCCCTCTCTTAGTTCAGGAACTTCTCATTACTGTATCGTGAAAACTTCCTGGAATCTTTTATCGAGTTCTTCGTACGCTTTGTCATTTGTAGTGAACCTGTGTGCCCCTATTCTCAGTTTCTTTACCTGTTCCTTCACTGTTGTTTTCCTGCTGATATGTCTGCAACAATTTGGGTTGGGTTTGCTTTTTTAGCTATGTCGTTTTTCACTCTGCTTCTCTTCTCCCCTTGAGGTACTCACTCCTGGCCCTCTGGTATCTTCCTCTGCTCTGTGTGTCCTGTTATTTCTGTAGTTTCTCCGTACTGCCTGTACTTTGTTGCTTAGCCATCTTATATGTGGGTGGTGAGGTGGGGTGTATTTACTATATGCCTGCAGGATTAAGCTGTAAACTCGTGAACCCCTCCTTTCTAACCATCGCTCGTCTAACTCCCTATCCATTTTCGTCTTATCATACCTGCTACAAATTTCTCGCTCACTCTTCCCCCTTCCCCCTCCATTTGAGCTGTCAATGAAGTTTGTGTTATATCTTTGCCGAACTTCATTTTAGCTATCCTGTAAGGTTGCTCCAAGTTCTCCATACAAATATTTTCCTATCATTTCTTCACATTCACCACTGTCCCTTTTATTTTCCATCTCATTTCTTTCTCTAGTTCTTTGATTTGTACCTCCACTTTGTCAGTCAGTTAATTTCCTTATCCTACTGCAAAACCTGCAAGAAAACCTCCTTTCTTTTCTTCATCCATAGTGTTTTCATTTGTTCATCCATGGCGCTTCACTGTTCATCCACGGCGTTTCACTGTTCATCCACGGCGTTTCACTGTTCATCCACGGCGTTTCACTGTTCATCCACGGCGTTTCACTGTTCATCCACGGCGTTTCACTGTTCATCCACAGCGTTTCACTGTTCATCCACGGCGTTTCACTGCTCATCCACAGTGAAACCCTTGAAATTAACACCTGTTGTCCTTCCATATGGCAACCACCATCTTTGTTACTTACACTGCTTTTGTTTTGAAATAACAACTATACCTGTCCAAATATTTCACTCACTTTTGCATATTTGCTTTATCGTCTTTTTTTTTTTTTAAATTCCCTCAAGCTCCATGATTGTTTAGGACATGACTCACGGTGCTCAACATGTTCTACAATACTTTGGTAGTTTGGTTTGTTTTTTGAGCTTCTTGATGTAGCAGCTGGCTTGGCGGGAGGTCTTGGGGGGGGGGGGGTTATGTAAAGTGTTGCGTAAGTATTATTCAACAAATTCAACAAAATAATATAAAATTATTGGAATGACATCTAATGGGTAAAGAATAAATTTTGTATTCCAGAGAAAATTAAAATAATAATAATATAGTACAGTAGTAATACAATGAATTTATTGTACAGGTATTACAATAAATTTATGATTAGTACAATGTATAACATCCTTGGTATTAGCAATTTTTCTTATTCAAGGTTTGCAACTCTCTATATATATTTTTTTTCACCATTGTAGTCTTCATTATGTATATTTTGATCACATTTATTATAGAGCTAAAACAAATTTCGTAGTATCATGCACGAAACGTAAATATACAGAACTAATTTATCAGATATACACTGAAAAGACTGCTGCTACAAATGCCCGAGACTTCGTGTATCCATACATAGCCATGCGTGATTTGTTCCTGCTGTAGGCTGACCAACTTTATATTACACACACACACACACACCCTTCCCAAACAACCTTTTTTCCTTTCCAAACACCCCCTCCACACTGATGCAACTCTTTCCCCTCCTTACTTCTGCAGTAATTTAAAATTAATATTTTTATTCTTCCAAGGTGTGGCAATGTCAACTGGGCGCGACGACAAACTTGCAACATGTGCAATGCTCCAAAATTTGGTGATTTAGAGGAGCGCACAGGTTACGGAGGTGGCTTTAATGAAAGAGAGGGTGTTGAATACATCCACCGTGAAGAATCGGATGATGAATATGACGAGTTTGGAAGGAAGAAAAAGAAATTTAGGAATAAAATTCCAGTGTCGTCCAGTGAAACAAAAAAGGTTAGAAATACCTGTTAAGGGTTGTGGATGCTTTTTTATTTGTATTTGTTAATTTTTCCTTCAGATTTCTTTCTGGATGATAACTTGTATTTAATAAAAAAATTCTCATTGAAAGTGGATAGTATAGTTTCTAGTGGCAGTTTCCAGAATCAGTCTTATATATACAGTAGTAGTAATGTATCAGTGGAATGCATTCTAGAAAGGTTTCTTAACCATTGGACAGTGGCCATGAGAAAATGGTTATACCTGCCTACGCGCAAAAGATACACAAATTCTAGAAAAAAATTCATTATAGAATTATTGTGTCCTCCTTGGATGTTTCATTGATTATCACTTGTTTCTCTGTATTTATAAGTGTGTGTGTTGTGTAACTTGATAAATCACATAATTCATGATAATGTTTCAATTGATTATTGGTTTGTCTGTGTTACCTGGGGGTGGGGGGGGGGGCCTCATGATGCTCCCTCACACACTCCTCTAGTCCCCATATCGAAATCAACAATTGACCCCAATGTGCACCAGAGAAACACAGCGACCTTAGCAACTCCCCTAAGGACTTTCCAGGCATTCACACTGTCCCTGGAGGGTGGTAAGGTAGAACGTGTGGCATTGAGAAGGCGAGTACCAGTGGCAATAATGTCCACCAGGTCACACTGGTGGTCAGTATCTTGAGATGATTTCGGGGGTTTTTAGTGTCCCCGCGGCCCGGTCCTCGACTAGGCCTCCACCCCCAGGAAGCAGCCCGTGACAGCTGACTAACACCCAGGTACCTATTTTACTGCTAGGTAACAGGGGCATAGGGTGAAAGAAACTCTGCCCAATGTTTCTCGCCAGCGCCTGGGATCGAACCCAGGACCACAGGATCACAAGTCCAGCGTGCTGTCCGCTCGGCCGACCGGCTCCCTATACCGGTGGACCGACCGGTCCACCATACCCTCAAAATAATTTGAGGCTATGGTCATAGATACCTTCAACCTTGAATCATCTTTACTCAGTGTTTAATGTATTTCCATTAACACTATCGCACTCTGTTGCCTATGCCCGTCTTCACTCATTTTTCCCTCGAGACGTCTCGGGTGACGAGGTCTGTAGTCACTCGTTAAAATATTAGTTAAAAATTTTAATTTTATCCGATCAATCTGGGAGTGGTTTCAAAACAAGTGCCTTTAAATTGTGCACAATTTGATACCAAAAATGAAAGACGTAACACGAAAATTTGTCAGGACACTGGAAAGATATAAATAATTTTGTGGTGATGAGCGTCCAAAAGTTAAAATATTTAAAATTCCATTTATTGTTCTAATATTATGGGACTAGTTTTAAAATACTCACCTTTATTTTGCAAACAATTTGATACTAAAATGAAACACGTAACACACAAATTTGTTATCAAACTGAACGAGAGTATACATTAGTCTGCAGGTGTGCCAATTGGTGATCGTTCACTGGTAACTGAGCCGACTTTAGGCTTGAAATTGAAATTGAAATTGAAATAAGTTTATTGAGGTAAAATACACACAAAGGGATGAGGTAGCTCAAGCTATTCTCACCCCGTTCAGTACAACGTGTTAATATATACATATACACACATCACAAATAAACATATTACCAAACATTCTGAGAGGTAAAAATATACATTTCCTCCCTCACAAGGAGTATGGTATCAGACGTACACACAAATACTTTTATGACCTAGGTATACTGTATAGACAATTTGCAAGACACCTGCAGATAATTCAACAAAATATTACAATCTTGGTGCAAAATTCTTATATCTCTCAAGAATATCATCAACCTTTCCGTTGTGACACATCCAGGCTATTTGTTCAGGAACAGTCCTTATCTCAGTGTTTCTATATACACTAATCAACGGACAATCAAGAATATAATGGGCAAGGGTGTGAGACCTTAACATACCACATAGTTTACACTTCGTGTCATTACCATGAACATCTATCCCATATTCCCAGTAATATTTGTACCCAAGCCTGAGCCGCATGTACACAGAGTCACTCCAAGCATTTCTCCTTTTACCATAAGTGAAATGGGTGTTTTGACTCACATACATGTAGTGTTGCATGGTTTGACTACTCTCATACATTATCTCTCTCCTCTCCACTCCCGCCTGTGCCTGAATATTTCTGATTTTGCTTCTTATTTGTCTCATTGTGAATTCACATTCAATGTCAACTTGTGGTTTTGATGTGGCACGTTTGGCCAAGTCATCCGCCACCTCGTTGAGCACTATTCCAACATGTTTAACCCTTAAACTGCGCAACGCGCCTGCAGGCTCACGTCTGGTTTGCGCAACGCGCCTCCGGGTATTTGTATTTTTCACGTTCCATTCAAAACTCCCGCGGCTACATGGGGTTCACATCAGCTTCCTCAGGGCTCTTGTAAACAGACGCCATCTTTAAAAAAAATCGTGGTCCACATTCCCGGGTGTGGGAGCCTCAGTAGTGTGTGAGCAACCAAGGCTGGCGCTCGCAGCATGAGCGCACAGCACTGCTGTTCAGCATGTGACCACAGCATCGCCAAATAATGTCAAAATATATATATAACTTGTATTATTTAGCTATGATAGTGTTATATTAGAGCCCGAGTGTGATAATGACTGGGTACAATGTTCAAATATCAGTGATTCAATGCTGTTCACGATGTTCACAGCTCTAGCCACAGCATTATTTCGTTCATCTAGGAATCTTCAAATGATTTCTTAGGTTCCTTTTCAAAATAAACGTGTGGTCAATTATTCATTTACAGGAATTAGTGACCAGGATTGTGATAATAGCAGGATTGTGGCTATAATTAGCGTTGTGCGTAGTATTGTGGAAGGAGGAATTTTGATGAGGGAGGGAGGGCGAGAATTGAGGTAGCCTCATCGTGTGTGTGGCTGCCACTCTTGTTTTGCTCACCATACTAGCTTAGTGGTTCGCTATGGGCAACACATATGTACATGGGTATATATAGTGTGTGTATATAGAGTAAGAACAGCAACCGGAGAATGTTGAGAGGAGCTATTTTGGTGAGGGAGGTGACGTAATCGTAGCGTCGTCTGCTGTGTGATTTTTCATGCAGTGTATGGTGGCCACTGTACTGTTTGGACACAATACCGGCTTACTTGCATAGTTCTGGTAAATAAAACATGTAGATAGGTATATAGAACATGTGTAATAAGAGCTATAACAATATGGTGGGAGGAGCAATGTTGGCGAGTAAGATGTTGGAGTGAGGGAGACTGGCTGGGTGTGGCTGCTCTCACTCGAGGTGTTCTGAATGTGTTCATGGCCAAATGCTGCTATTGGCCCATATGAGGCAGCTGCTATTGGCCCATACGGGGCAGCTGCTATTGGCCCATATGGGACAGCTGCTATTGGCCCATACGGGGCTGCTATTGGCCCATACGAGGCAGCTGATATTGGCCCATACGAGGCAGATGATATTGGCCCATACGGGGCACCTGCTATTGGCCCATACGAGGCAGCTGATATTGGCCCATACGAGGCAACTGATATTGGCCCATACGAGGCAGCTGATGTTGGCCCATACGAGGTAGCTGCTATTGGCCCATACGAGGCAGCTGCTCTTGGCCCATACGGGGAAGCTGCTATTGGCCCATACGAGGCAGCTGATATTGGCCCATACGGGGCAGCTGCTATTGGCCCATACGAGGCAGCTGATATTGGCCCATACGAGGCAGCTGATATTGGCCCATACGAGGCAACTGCTATTGGCCCATGCGAGGCAACTGCTATTGGCCCATACGAGGCAGCTGCTCTTGGCCCATACGGGGAAGCTGCTATTGGCCCATACGAGGCAGCTGATATTGGCCCATACGAGGCAGCTGCTATTGGCTCATACGAAGCAGCTGCTACGCGGTGTTCTGAATGTGTTGATGGTGAATGTATATAGTGTGTGACAGTGTATAGTGTGTAAATAGATTGTATATATACACAAATTAGCATGGTATATAGTAAATATGTGCTGCATATGTGTACACAAGTTTCATGCACGTAACACAGTGTCTACGGACAGTACGGATGTTGTACTGCGATATTATAGTGTACGTGTTCATTATACATTGGATTGGCACATAAAAACGATGAAATTGTATTTGGAAAGGTGCGGAAAAAATGAACGAAAATATATTCGCGGCAACTCGTGCGCCCCGCCCCGAGCGCCCCACCGCCCCCAAGAGCTTACGGCACGGGCGCACGGGGAATGATGACGTCACGCCCCAACTTCCGGACCCCATAGCAGCCAAAGTAAGTACAATCTCGACTTTTTTTTTACATACCCATACTGAGGGAAGGGTTTTTGACACTTTAAAAAGAAAAAAGAATTTTTTCCAGAGAATTTATTTCCTGCGCACTGCGGGGGTGTCACATTTGGAGGCAACGCAGTTAAGGGGTTAAGGACTGTTGCCTCTTGGTAACCGAGATATCATGCTTCCATACAAACACCGTAATTGTCCCGGTTCATGATGAATCTTTTTCACCTTGAGGGGTACAATTTCGACGTCTATTTTCTGTACTTTCCAGGGAGCAGACATATTACACTTTCGAGAGGGTTTACAGCAGTCAAATACGTCGTATTCCCTGAGGTCATGAGCTAATCCTCTCGTATAGCGAGTCTCCCTCAGTTTCCTGGAAGTGTGTACGTCACTCAAGCAGGTCTGAACGCTCTCAAACAGCTTATCCCCTCCTTTTCTCCGCATGAAACGAATAGATACTCTAGTGTTAATGTCACGGACTCTATCACACACACTCTGTAAATTGAATTCCATTCTCATTATTTCAATCATTGCATTTCTTTGACATCCAAGAATAATCCTCATAGCCTCGTTCTGTATCAGCTCTATTTTTTGAATTCTGCCTTGGCCTGTGTAAGACAATACGGGTGCTGCGTAGTCTATCAGGGATCGAACAGTGCTTATGTATAACATCCGCAAGATAGGTACCCCAACACCTTTACCAGAAAAAGCCAGTGCTTTTAGAGGATGCAGACGGGCTTTACATAAGGTGCTGATATGATTTATTTCAGCATTTTTACTCTCACATGTGTATCCAACATACATGCCCAGATACTTGTACTTCTGTACACGGCTCAGTTCCACACCATTTAGAGTAAGTGTTATATTTCTTCGTTTCCTATACTCGTATTTGGTTTTATCTGCATTTATAACTAAGCCTAACTTGTGACAGGTTGTACCAAGTATGTTAAGAGCATCTTGAATTTTGTTCCCAGAAGTGCCTTGTATAAGAATGTCATCAGCATATATGATCGTCGTGACCCCTGGAGGATACATCTCTGATGCTAATCTGTTCATTAATACATTGAATAAGGTGGGACTTAATACTCCCCCTTGTGGGGTACCTAACTGAAACCTCCGTTCCTCAGACATGTATCCCTGGTAATACACCTGACCTTTTCTGCCTTGCAGGTAATCCCTTATCCAGTGTAGCAATCTCCCTGTTATTCCCAGATTGGCTAATTCGTATAAGATTACTTCCCCATTGGCTTTATCAAACGCTCCTTGTAGATCAACAAAAACTCTACAATTGTCATCCACATTAGACAAACACTTTAAGAGACAATCCGCAGTACTTTTGCCTTTGATAAAACCAAAGAGATTATTGGACATGTTATCACCTACAAGGTAGAGTAGCCTATTTAACAAAATCCTTTCCATCATTTTACAAAAGCAGGATATTAAGGAGACAGGTCTGTAGCCTCCGTTTGACTTAGGGATAGGAATGATGACAGCCTCTTTCCATTTTCTTGGTAACTTTCCCTCTCTATAACTCATATTAAACAAATCAAGTAAGGGATTAGGTTTCATACCGGCTAAATAATTAAGTATGTCATACGTTACTCCATCTTTTCCCGGAGCAGTGGAGCTGCCACTTTTTATAGCATCCAGTAGCTCATCGTGGGTTATCTCAGTGCATGCTATAGATCTTGTATTTAAGGCACATAAAGTTACTCCATTTCTAATATTTTCCCATGACTCAATGGTGACTCTCGTGTCTGCAGGTAAGGACTCCATACCAGCAGCACTTGCCCATTTATCTACTAACTCATTAGCAACTTTCCCTGGATCTGAGTGAGCAATGAATTTAGTCTTACAACCCCTGACTTTATTTACTGCTCTCCATATGTCTTTAAGGTTCTTAGTATTACCAATGGCCTGAGCAAAGTCTTGCCAGTATCTGTCCCGCGCCTCCTTCCTCACCTGACTGCATTCCCTAGCCACTTCCAACATTGTATTTTTCTCTTCATCCCTCATTCCATTTTTTAACCATGCTTTATGCGCACCCCGTAGCATTCTCTCCCATCCCTTGACTTGCTGATCATTGGAATATTTAAATTTCTTAGGTCCGTGCGTCTTGCTTCCCCTGCCCCCGTTATTTTCCCTCTGTACTAATTTCTCTATGTTCTCGACCATGTCCTCGTAAAAACTATCAACGCAGAGCGGCGTGTAATGTTGATACCAATCTCCCATATTTTGAATAAAATAATTTTTCATATCTTTCTTAATATTTAGCCTTTTCCTTTGAAAGTGGACTTGTTTTTAGGCTTTGCTGTGGGGAGTCACACCGGGCTTTTAGACCTTATATGCTTATACCCCTGTAGAGAATTCTATTGCGAACACAATACCAAAATGAACGACGTAGAGTGAGAATTAAGGTGAGAAAACTGAAACAAGTATACATTTTTTGGTGTCGGGCATGCTCGCCTGCACCAAACGGCGCATGACGTTATTTCTGCGGCGCGCGCGATAGTGTTTAGGGGCTTCCATATAGGTCAAAGCATGGTATAGATTAAATAGAAGCATAACAGAAACACAATGTTTCAAATTTATAACATTTACAGAGAAAAGTATACATATTAAAAATAATAATCTGCCTATACTAGTCTCGCTCAATATCCAAACTAAAGGGCCACTCTCGGCCCTCAACGAATTAACATAGCTAGCTGAAATGTTCGAGTAGAGCAATGATATTACTGTAACACATTAATTTGTTTCTCAAGGATTTAAGAAGATTCCAAATCAAACTTTAACCCTTTGGCTGTGATTATCTTCTAGTATTTACGATCCCTAGGGCACTGCGTTTATCATCATATGACTATTTATCCCTTAGACAGTGGTTATCATCATTCTTTGGTTTACGGGGTAATGCGGTTATCGTCATACAACGATTTAAACAATTATTGCCTGGGGTTTACGTATGTGATGCAAATATGGATATAATCTGTTTGGATGTAAATAAAGGAAAAAGTGATAAAACAATCGGTGAACACCCGTGAAACATAACACACAAAGCGTCGGCAAAGTCAAGCACCAGGCATTGACAAGTGCCAAACACAGCCTTGCAGAGTGCCTCCACCCAATGAAACGATAAATATTCACTTATTTTTGTGTGTTCATAAATTTTGCATACAAATTAATAATTTTTGTTATGCCCTGCCTATGCACCCAGAGTGAGGTGAACAAATATTAAAAGATCATGTTTGTTTACTGGAGGCCTTAGATAGCAGATGTAAACACCATATATCTGCGGGAGTTTTAAATCTTTAGCAGTGCAGTACTTTAAACCTTCCCCAATGGTATCGTGCAGTTTAATAGCAAGATTATCCCCAGCCATGTCATGTAGTGGAAAGATTTATCTCTAGCGGGCCACGTGGTCTGACCCCACTCAAACTGCTCCCCGGTAGTTCATTGTCTACTGGGGAGCTTGGTTGTATAGGGTTGCTTTGGTCTCTTCCCTTGAGGAGCTGGATGCCATGGGTAGCTTGTCTTCTAGCTTCTTGGGATTTTTCTCATGATTTACGCAGGTCATATTTAGGACATGTCCAATGTTCGGATAATGGGGTTTCTAATTTTTACCTCATTGCCACGCAGTGGACCGTCAGTGATGCAAACTTCCATTGGCTTTATGAAAAATTCAGCTGCTCTTGAGATGAACCCTTTCACATCGGCATGGAATAGGTGACTTTAATTTACGGGGCTCAATTTCCTGATTGCAAGGCTCTTGTTTTGGATGCATTTTGGATGCATTTTGGCTGGACTGGGGTTGGTGGGAGTTTCTTTATCTCCTCCCTCTGGTTTGGCATGTTGCTCCAGGTTCTGTCCAGATTGGAGAAGTTCTCCAACAGGGTTCTTCTGTTTGCTCCCTTCTGGCTAAATCCCTGCCTTGGATTTCTATCCTTTTGGGCCAGTTTCATTTTCTGCTCCTTTCAATGATCAGTCTAGAGATATTTCATGTTGTTTTGAGGCTCATTATCAATCTACACATTTGACCTGTATATTGCTTCTTTTACAGTCAATGACTTTAACCCTTGACTTTAAAAGGTTGGCCACAGGTGGCCAACCTTTTGGTATATTAGCTGTCGGTTTCATCGTGACAGCAGTTTGAAGTTTCTTGGCACACTCCCTCTTTTTTTTCTTCTCCATCACTTTTCCTTGGTTTCTGTACCTGTGGTTCTCTCATTTTTGTCTTGGTTGTTTGTGTTTAGCTGCTTATGCCAAAAACTGTCTCCTCATATCCTTTGGCTTTGGTGGAGATGATGCTGTCATCATTCATTGCCAATGTTTGGTTGGCCTTGTTTCATAAGTTCACTTGCATTTGTTCACCTGTAGCCTTCTCATGCTTCTCCTGTCCCATCCTGGTCTTTGGACATGGTTTTGGTATTCTCTTCCCTTCTCAATTTTATGTTGTTCGCTCAGTCTGCGATTGTTTCTGCAAGGCTTTTTTTTCCACCCTCGCTTTTGGTTGTCGGATTGGCAAGCTTCATGCTCTTTTTCCAGAAATGGTGGTTTTCTTCTTTTGGCCCTGCAGGTCATTTTCTTCATTTACAGCCCTCCCCTTTTTTTTCCCCCCCTTTCTGGTTAAAAGGAAACTGTTACTGCTGTGCCATTTATGGTGCTCGAGGGAATGCACCGTTTGCGGGTCCATTGTCCCTGGTTTCTTGTTCCAGGGTCATTTGTCTCGGGTTGTCTGCAATGTCATAACGATTAGCCAGCCTGTGATCTACCCTCAGGTCCATGAGGATCGTAAGGTTGCAAATTTTTTGTAGTGTCTCAGAATGTCTTGAGTGGATATTTGGGCAGTGAGGTTTTAGCTGTCCAACAGGGTGCAGGTGGCTCATTTAGTAAATATTCTTTAACTGCACCAGGCTTGTGTGACTTTCAGGGCAGTTAACTCTTAATTTATACTTCCTGGAGGGGGGGGGGGCTATGTTCTGCAGTTCTCCTCAGCCCCTGTGAGTACCCCTTTGGTGTGTGTCACCAGGGTGACAGCACCACCGAGGCACCATGTAGCCCTCCCACAAAACCAGCATTAAACGTTATGAAATTCTTCTCTCCGGTGGGTCCTTGTTGGGTAAGGGAGGGTCCAAAGGAGCCAAGTAAGGGTTTTGGTTTACTGATATCCTGGTTGTGTGATTGAAGTTTTAAGGTTGATAATTGAGGAGGAAAGTGTGCAGCCACAATAGTGTGTGGCACAAAATACACATTAGATATAACCTCTTGTGTCTATACTTAAATCTTCAAAATTTAAAGTAAAGATTAGAAATGGCAAGTTAGCTTTTTTCTTTCCCCCCCCCCTAGGAACCTGTAGTACAGAAAGTAGTGGCAGAGAAGGTGACTGAAGAGGATGACGACGACGATGATGATGACGATGACGATGGAGATCTTTCTAAATATGATATTTGGAATGATGTGGATGAAAACGATGATGATAAAAATGATGTGAAAGATGACAAGGCAAGTGTGTGTGTCTTTCTTATTAATTAGATGCTTTTAAACATGTTCAGAAAGGCTTCAACAGCACTTCAAATTTTATAAGATAATGGGTGGTACCTTTCCTTAAAGGAAATATTCTGTAATGATGATTTTGACTATAAAATTCAACTTTATTTTACTGAGGCTTAACTATATAGCTAGTTTCTAATTTGTTTTTTACATTTTAGAAAAAAAATGGTAAAGCCGAGGACTCTCCTCGTAAGAGTGGAACAGTATCAAGGTCACGATCCCGGTCCCTTAAACGATCTCGATCAAAGTCAAGATCACGCTCATATTCCCGAGGCAGGCATAGCTCCAGGTCTGTCTCGAGATCCTCGGCTTCTTCCAGATCATCGGGTTCTAGGTCCAGGTTAGTATTTCTTGCTCTACTTTTTCCATGTTTCTCTTAATTTGTTTTTTTTCAGCTTCAAACCTATTGACACCTCTTGCCTGTTATCTGTATATGCTATTTGTTAAGCCTTCAAATGCTGTTTTCCATCAACAGATGGTAGTAAATTTAGATTTGCAATTGAAAAAAAACTAAAAGTTCAGTTAGTGTGGGATAAGAAATCCAAATTTCCAAGGACTAAAATTTCTAAGTCAATCTGAGGTAATGGCAAGGTTCTATGCAGTGAAGGTTGTGTTTGTATTGTATAGAGCATGGATTACCACCTGGTGGGTTGGAATGGGCTGTGCAAATGGACTTGTACAGTTTTTGTTACACACCTGTGATTGTGCCTCTGATGGATTAGGCCTCTTTTGAGTTTGGGTCGTTTTTTGCTTGAGTGATATTAGAAGGCGTCAGTTTTCTGTTTTTTTTATTTTTGGGTGGTTTGTCTTAAGACTGGGTGGATTCCTGCTAGCATGAATCAGCCCCACCCCATGATCTGGGCACTTGGCAGCTTTATGTAAGTCAGGCTATGCTCTTCACTTAACAGTTTGTGGCAGATCATTTGACTCACCTCTGGGTGGCTGCCATTTTATGTGTATGGTAGGTCCAGAAGCTCCCTGTAGTAGATCATCCCTCTGTTATGTGGACTGCTTCACTGACTCTCACTCCAACTTCTGAGTCTTATATAGTGCAGCATAAACATGTCAATAATGAGTGAGCGAGTGTGCATAAGTGTAAAATATTATTATTTGCCATGAAATTTACTGTAAAACAAAACACTGATGCACACCAGTAATGTGTGGTAGCCATGTTCTGCACGTTTTCTTATATTAGAACATCAAGTGACAACACTGAACAATTTGTATGAAAAATTTGAGCAAAATGTGTGAAATATGATGTAAACAAATAACAAATTTATTATGGCAAGTGGTGATATTTGAGTGGCGTGTGTGACGTGCATGGTATGCTCACTGCTTGAGCCAGCATATTGTGCCGACATCATGGCCACATTTGTCAGCCCTGCTACACCCATGGTTAATGGATTTGGTGTTTTCCTTATTTTTGCTGTGGTGAGGGAATGCATTTTAACATTTTTAGAAGAGAAAAAATTTAGATTTTTTTAATTTTATACACATATGGTATAATCAGTTTTGTAGCCGAGGGGTTAATTTTCTCCGTTCCCTCAAAGTGGGAAACATTTTAAAGATTGTGTTAAATAAATGTATTTTTTCACTTCAGTGGTAATTTATAAATACATTTAATGGGTTTATTGGGTAATTTATAAATACACACTTTTAATGGGTTTAATTGGTAATTTATTTATAACTCATATTTTGATATGTAACATTTTGATTGTTTCAGCCAATTGTCTTGTACGCAAAAATTTACAAGTGTTAATTATAATTGTTTTCAATATGGACTTGGTAATTATATGGCTGTAAATCTTGTGCAACGTGCACAATTCTAATGGAGACATAAAAGCTTAAAGATTAATTGATTAAAAAGATGTGTATGGAAGTGAATTATAAGGCGGTGCAAAATTATGGCTTGTGTAAGTGAAGTTCCCAATAAGAGAGATGTATTTTTTATGGCTTTGAAACTTCACTTAATGTGTTGTGCAATGTCAACTTTTTTTTTTAATGTATATAAAATTTATTAAGGCTTTTAAACCAATTATATTTCAGATCTACTAGGTCTTCACGGTCGTGGTCGCGGTCGCGGCGTAGGCCGAGCAACTCCAAATCAAGATCTCGGTCCCCCAAATTGAGGAGACGGGGATCTAGGTCAAGGTAAAAGGGTAACTAGGGTAAAAGGTTAATATCACTTCTAAAAGTATTTCTTTATGTATTGGATTATTTTTCTCCCGAATACCAGACACGAGGTATGGATTTTCATTTCTGTACAGCATTTGAATTTTTTGTGTGCGTAATGCCTAATATTATACCTATATAGTGATACATATATAATTCAGTAATGTATAATGCTCTATTGGCATTATAAGTGCTGAATAGCTGTCAGGTTAGGGCTTGGTCTTGACTCTCAATAATAATAGCTATACTAGTAATTATATCAAGGGTTAAATGGGTCATAATGAAATTAGTGACATTTTGTTGACATTGCAACCCAGCCTCCTGTTTAGATTAGTACCTTTTGTAACGATGTGAACCATTATACATGTGGTGATGTATTGGACAATACATGGTATAATCTATTGGACATCTATTGGACAATAGATGGTAGAATTTGGCACTATTCATTTTATAGACCAAAAAAAAATAAAGCTAAAGACCATATTTAAATACAGTATTCCTAGGCCTAGTATAGCATATATATGTACTATATTAGGCCTGAGGTAGCATGTATCTGAGGCCTGGGAAGGTTGGGTTAGGTTAAGTTTTCTATGCAACATCAGTACAAAACTTTTCCGGTTTCTCCAAATTCAATAGTACTGATTTCTAATTGCTACAAGTACTACCTAAAGAGGAGGATTGGGTGGTACAGTAGGTAAGGAATAGTCGACTGTATCTTGTGTAAACATAATACGCTGCTCAATAAATGGCCGAAGTTTGTATTTCAGAGTAGACCTGGCCAATGTGAAACATGGGGGGGAAGGTCTACATACATTCAGATAAAGAATTGATACTAGGTTTCTAATCGTATTTTCAAAGCTCATTCAGTTGATTTATTATAGTTACAGGAAATAGAGATGAATAAACTTGAAAGAGCTAGTACCTGCACTTTGTGCCATTTATGATGTGTGCGCGCACTGCACCTGAGCAAACACAAGCTAGAAGTAATGGTGCCCATACCATTAATGGTGCTTCATTACCACAGCTTATCTCTTGGCACTCACATTTAGCTACACTTTTAACGTAACTTGAAAATGGCAAAGTGCTGTACATTACTGCATAATTTTGAAACTTTTGACATTTTTTTATCATGTTAGAAAATTTTCAGTGATATTTGTAGTGCATTTATATACTCTGTATATGTACATAGCTCATGAACATTTAAGTCTCATTAATTTTGTATTGCAGATATAATTTCAATGGGAACTTCTGGTGTTTAAATAACATTTTGCAAATAAAAAATTTGATAAAAAGTGATTACTTATATCTTAAATGAGGAGGGGGAGCTGAGTGGAAGATACTGAATAGTAAGAAATTAGGTTGAGTGAGGGAAAATAAGAGTTGACGGCAAAGTATGTCAGACAAATTTGGAGAAGCATACCAAGACAGTGTTCGGAGTTGCACAAGCTGGTGGAAGAATGAAGAACTACTTTGTGAGATGAAGTGGCCAGAGTGGTGGTGGTGGTGCACAACAATTTAATTTTGAGGATGAAAAGTGAATGGAAAAGGGCAATAAGAAAATGGGAGTGAGGTGAGTGAAAGGCTATGCAAGGTGATCAGTCAACCATGAGAGAGTGAATTAAGAGAGAAACAATATCAAGTTTATTATTATTTAAGACGTAAATCTCCTTTAAGAAGAGAATGTTTGGAGCAAGTGTAAATAACACAGGATATAGTATGGGACATGATTGGATGGATACAGTTTGCAAGGAGGAATTGAATTTGTTTGCGTGTTGCAGTTTATGAAGTTTATGATTACACCTGATTTATGATACACTGTGAACTGGAAAAGTTGTTAGAGGGAGGTCATTACAAATCTGCATAAGGATATTAACAGACTGATCAAATCCTGTTCCTTGGACTCCACTTCTCTATACTGGGCAATGGGCATGGATCTGCCTTCGGGGCCCTTTGCTATGGTTCCCAGGGCTTGGGGGAGGTGGGGGGGGGGAGTTCAGCCATATGCCCTTGGGTCCTTTTGATCCTTTGAGGATGCATGTTCCTTCTGTATTTACCTAGTTGTGCTTGCGGGGGTTGAGCTCTGCTCTTTTGGCCCGCCTCTCAACTGTCAGTCAACTTATACTAACTACTACTAACTTTTTTCCCCCATACAAACCCCCCCCCCCCCCTCCCCAGGAAGCAGCCCGTAACAGCCGTCTAACTCCCAGGTACCTATTTACTGCTAGGTAACAGGGGCAGCAGGGTGAAAGAAACTCTTCACATCTGTTTCTGCCGGCAGTGGGATCTGTGATGTGCTTTGTGTGCGGCTTTCCCCACGACTCATTTCTGGGTGCCCTTAGGTTTCTTAGATTCATCTTTTCGGAAGTTCTGGCTTCCCACTTTACCCAGTGGAGGCTCAGGAGGCTGTGTGCATACCTCCTGTTTGACTTGGGTTTTGCCTTGATCATGGTTGGATGCACTGTGAGGTTCTGGAGTCATCCTGACTCGCAGGCTCCCCTTTTTCTCTTCTATTGAGATACTAAATAAATAAATAAAAAAATTATTACATTAATTTTCATCTGGGAGCTGGGCTTGGTTTTGTCGTTTGCACTCACTTGAGTGGCATGCAGCTTCCATGTTACAGGTTTCTGGGGGTTGATTTCTTGGCATTTTCTCCGTTTTTCCCCACTCTTCCAAGGGATTGTTGCAGATCCATGTTCAGGTTCCTTCGTGATCAGCTACACTATTAATACAGTCGTCTGTTGGTGTCAAGTGGGCACCAGGTGGCTCGCCAGTTGCTCGAGTGTTTTGGTTTGTGTGCGGGCGGCTTTCCGCTGCTGTTGCGATTGGTGGGTGCAGACTCAGGATGCCTGTCGTTGGTTGCTACGTTGCTGGCTTCCTCTTCGTTTTTCGGGGGGTTTGGTTCCCTGGTACCTTACCATGCCTTCGCTCACCATCTTCACGAATGCCTCGACCTCGGTTGGGGCTTTGTAACAAGTGTTTACCAAGCTGGTCAGGGGGGCCATGGTCCTTTTCCCTTCGTCAGGCTTACAGTACTGTGCGGGTGTTTGTGGCAGTGTGGCATGTGTTGAAGAGGATTTGGGTCCCTCTGAACTCTTTAGTCTGGCTTCTTTCGAACTCTCCCCCTATGGTTTGTTGTCTCACCCGAGAGGATTCTCTGCGGTCCATGTCTTTGGAGCTGGACTCTACATGTAGTTCGTCTTCTGGTTTCTTGGGGTTTCGCTCTGTGCTGCTCACATCCAGGGTGTGTCCAGTGTCTTGGTTGGTTGTCTGTCATGGTTCCGTCCCATCTCCACGAAGTGGATCGTCGACACCAACTCCTCCTTTTGGCTTTGCCGGACATTCGGATGCCCAAACGTGAACCTCTTCACATCGGCTTGGTCAGTGCCTTCCTTTCCGCAGCACTGTTCCCAGACTGTATGGCTTGTGGATGCCTTTTTACTGTATTAGTTGAGGTGGGGTTTCTGTACTTCTTATCCCAGGTACAGCTTCTACTCGGTCCTGGTGAAATTAGTCCTTCAGGGGAGGGTGGGCCTTCTGGCTCCCTGGTGACTGGCTTGGCTTGGTTTCAGGCGCTGCGTGTTTGGTGTCTGGACCTGGCCATTTTTTTGCAGCTCCACCTCTATCAGAAGATCGGTCCAGTGACACACTTTGCTGGTTCTGCCTTTTCTGATCTTCGTATCTGGAGTTTTTGACACATGTTTATTGCCATTTTTATAGTGATCAGGTGGCTGGTTTGTTGGTGTCCCTCTTGTATTCCTCCTCTCTGTGACTGAAGTCTCCTGGCGTGCTTTTTGCCACTCTGTCGTTCCTCTTCAGTGTCGGATTCAGTTGTCCTCTTTTTGTTTTGTTTTGTTTTTTGTTTTTTTAATCTGCATCTTTTGCCAAATACTGTACTTGTCAAACTTGTATTGTCACACTGACAGAGCTGCTGTTGCTGCTTCCATTTGGGGTCGATATTTCCTTGGGTCCGTTTTGTAAGCTTTCTCGGGCACTATTAATTCTCCGGCCTGCTCATGCATTTCCTGAGCCTGCACCATGTTCTTTTCTTCTCATTTTATGGTGTCTTCTTCGGACCATGATTGCTTTCGTATGGCTCTTTTGCTTCCTCGCCTCCGGTTGTCATGTGGGTGGCCTTCATACTCTCCTTTGATGCCAGAGTTTTTGTTCTTTCAGCCCTGGGGTCATTTTGGTTGTCTGCTGCCGGCTCCTCCTTTTCTGGTAAAGAATGAGTCGGTTGGCTTTTGAAGGAGTCCTTTGGTGGTGGATGCTTGCTTGGCTCGGCTGGGGTGCATTGTGTGCCGAGTCCAGTGGTGGCTCTGCACTGCGATTTTCATGCCACTACTGCTGCTTTGGTGGACTCCTCGTAGGTTGATCCCGTTTCCTGGTCCCCTGTTCCAGAGCTCATGTTTCTTAAGTCATCTGCATGCAGTATTAAGTCTAGCCAGCCTGCAGTCTATCCTCATGCCCATGACATTGACAAATTTGTCGCTCACTCAGCTGTGTTTGCTATTGTATCTTGGGCCGGTAAACGGGTGTGGGGATTTTGGCGGTCAGGCAGGGTCCTGGCAGCCAGGTATCTTCCCTCTTTTTCCTCCTCATTGTTGGCCTTGTGTGACCTTGGGTCATGTGTTGCAGCTTGCATTTTCTTCTTTAAGATACCTGTGGTGTTTCCTCCTCCCTGGTGAGTTCATTTCTTTTCTTCGTGAGTAGGTAGCTTCGTGGGTACCAGCATTGAATATAATGAAATGCCAATGTCTGGGTGAGCCCCTGGGGGCTCCATGACACCCTCCTTTTCCCAGGGAGTCGGTGGGGGGGGGGGTTCCTATCATAGAACCGAGGGTGGAGCAGCCGGTTGACCTACTGTCTTCCTCCTACCCCAAACAAGAGGAGGGGAGGTGGGGTGAATGAGCTAGTGCTAGTTTCACGAGTTTTCGATCGTTTGTTTACATTTTTGGGGAGTTTTGTGATTTTCAGGTGTTAATATTTTTTTGTAACCAGTAGTGGTCTGTTTTGACTGTGGGTGCTTCCCCGTTGGTAGTGGATATGATTAAAACTCACTGACAATTTTATCATAGTGCCATTGTTCTCTGCATTTCATTAGACAGGGGACCAGGTTCTGGCTCGTGGTCCCTGGTAGGCCTAAAAGAATTCCACGACTGATGGAACCCAGTAGTTTGGCACTATCAGCATTGTAGCTTCAGGAAGTCACAAAGGACCCCCAGAAATTGGTGTTTCATTACATTCAATGCTGGTTTTTTCCAACTACTTAATCACTGACAAAATTAGAGGCATTACAAGTAAATTGAAATACAGATTTTGCAGATGCATTTGATACGTGTGATCTTGTAATAATAGCCCATAAAATGAGAGCCAAGAGAAAAACAGGACAACTTAGGAGGTAGGTTTTTAATTTTTTGAGGGGTAGATTAACGTGTGGTAGTAAACCCAAGATAATCCAGCTTTAGTATGGTGTGGAGCTGGGTTCCACAGTATAGCCCTCGCCCTGTTCCACATCTCCTGGAAAACAAAAAGTTTGTTTTGTGTCATTCTTTGCTAATGACACTAAAGTAAAGGCAGTATGGAAATTGCCTTGGAGAAAGATGCAGAAAAATTACAATAAGATAGTAATAAGGTCTTCCAATAGGCAATGGTAGTAACACGGTCTCAGTGGGTTACAATAGGCAATGGGAAATGACGTTCGGTGGTGACACAGTGGTTACTTCGTATGGGAAAACTAAAAACCTTAACAGAAATAAAATATTAAAGAAAGTCATATCTTAGAAAGAGGAGAAATCAAGACAAAGGTCTTGTAATAATAATAATGCCAGAAGACCTAATGCTTATAGAGCACAATAAAATAAAATATATACATTGCAACAGCCATGAAAATGAAAAGGGTAATGAAAACTTCAAAATAAGGAATACCACACCAATTATGATGTTTCTTCAAAAAGCTAATGCTGTGTGGTATATAATATTGTTAAGTCCTCATGTTTCCTGTAAAGGCAGGTGAGATTGTATAGCTGGAAAGTGTGCAGGGAATCTTTATTCACACAGAATCAATGAAGCATTTAACTACTGTACTACTGACTCAAAACACTCAGATTGAAGTCCTTGAAAAAGAGACTAGAGATCACATACACAGGCTGTGGATGTAGAACTCATAATCAACAAGAGGTAAATACCCTATTTCCAGTTGGTCAGATACTCTAATGCATTTGCAGTCTAGGAAGATGCCAACAGTCTTTACTTGTTCTCGAGGCTGTGGAGGCAGTGACTTCCAGTATTTTTTCAGTGCATTCCACCTGTTGACCAGTTTGCAAGCACCTAATCTAATTTTTTGGATTTACCTGCATTTCCAAACATCCACATCCTATTGTTTTAATTGCTCTAAATTGTGAATGACTGTTCTTACCCACTCTTGTCCATTCCTTAACCCTCAAACCGCTAGGGGCCCAAATGGAATTCACACCCACAGGCGCAACAAAAAAATAAAATCCAAAAAATTCTTTCATCTTATAGAAGTGTTCATTTTTGTTCCCTGATCACGGAAAAAATAACAAAAAAAATCGTAGGTGGCATATTTTAGCCGCAATAGGGTAGGGAAGTGTGGCAAAAAAGGGGCGTTGGCAGAGCCTTCGCCAGACGAGGTCTACTCCGCCCGAGCTGTCAGACGGCAGTTGCCACAAATATATTATTACCTAATTATTTCAATGTTTCTGATTTTTTCTTAGTGTTTTTGCAGTAATATTATTCCATACAGTGAATTGTGGTATATTTATATTATAAAATGTGTGAACCATCGCTGTACTCAAAATTATGGTGTGCATATTAGTGATTCAATTATTTTCATAAAACAATAAACAAAAAGTTTTGCTGTTGTTACACTATATACACAGGTTATATATAAGTATCTGCATGTTTTGTACACCATAACGAACTACTAAGTTGGTCTTGAGTCAAAAAGCAACGAGGAGTGACCGCCACACACCAGCGAGCCACTCACTGCCACTCCCTCCCTCAACACCACCTTACTCACCCTCATTCACCCCCCACAATACTCTTTCTGTATTTATTCACTATACACAGACGTTATATATACGTATTTACATGTTTTGTTCACCATAACTGTACATCTAGGCTTGTATGGTGAGTAAAGGCCATAAGACGTAGCTACTCACACAATCAGCTGATCGGCGGCCGCCCTCAAGGCCAGACGCACTAATATTTGTCCTCCAACAATATTGTTTGTGGTGTTATTACGCTATATACACACATTATATATAAGTATCTACCTGTTTTATTCACCATACCTGAACAAATAAGCTGGTATGGTGCCGAAAGATCATAGTGGCCATCAGTAAACAACATGCCAAGTCGTGCAGACGACGCTCCTCCCTCACCAAAATGGCGGCTCCCAACCTACTCCTCTCGCTGTTATCTCACACTATACACACGTTATATATTAGTATCTACATTTGTGTTCACCATGGCGAACCACTAAGCTGGTATGGTGAGTGCAGTCAATAAATGGTGGCCACACAGAGTCAGAAAACGACGCCACAACCCTCCTTCCCACAGCCTTACTCCTCCCTCCATGGAGCACAGCGCTAAATATCACCACAATCCTGCTATTATCAGAATCCTGGTCAGTTTTATCACAGTCAGGGGGCTTCAGTAATACTATCACTGCTAAATAATAGCAGTATCATTTATATTATGGTATTTGTAGGCGATGCTATGGTCACAAGCTGAACAGCGGTGCTGTGAGCTCGTGCTGCGTGCGCCAGCCTTGGTGGCTTGCTCAATACTGACGCTGTAACACCCAAGAATGTTGGCCTGGATTTTTTTTCTAGGTGGCATCTGGCAACTATCGGTTGTGGCTGTACTATAGCTGCCCCTATCCCAGGCGGGGCGTTTAAATTATAGCGCTAGACACGAAATCATATATAAATGATGTGCGCGGTTTCGGTTTTGTCACTGATATCATTTATATATGACATGTGCGGTTTGAGGGTTAAAAGTGTTTTTGTTCAGTTATCCTTCTTTCCTTGATTGTTGGATTTGGTTCCCTACACCTTCATTGTTGCTTAGACCTCTTTATTTGGCCAGTAGTTGAGTTACTGTGTAAACAATTTTGCTTCATAAGGTGCAGATTCAATTTTGGTTTTTGTATTCTAGTATCAGTCTGATGTTGATTGTGCAGAAAAAAAAAGAAAAAAAATGTTGGGGGAGGGAAGTTTTGTGAGTAAGTGTATACATATTTAGTGTAAACTGTTGTGCATATTTGTTGTGCTGTTATGTGAATTTGAGTACAGGATTGTTACTTCAATTGAATGTAATTTGAATTATAGCAAAAAATTTGTTTGAATATCATGTAATCCTCTTGAGAGGATAATTTATATTGACAAAATTACTAGACATTATATATGATGGTTATTGTAGGTCACGGGATCGTTCCAGTAAGAAGAGGAGAGGGTCTCAGCGTTCCTGCTCCCGTTCCCGCTCCAGGTCGAGGTAACCAGGTTTAAGGTGATGGGGGATGTCAAGGAATGTGGGTGTAGGACACTTCAGTTTGTCAATAATTTTTACATATTCTTAGTAGGAGTGTTAGGCTTTTGTAAAAAAAAAAATTCCAGAGTTTGCAATGTCTATGGTATCTGGAGAACGCCCTCACGTAATAGTTAAAAACTTTGCAAGACTAGTACAGTATAGTGGTGCAAAGAAGGTTCCAGTTATTTTTGGGACATATACTCTCCTACCATACTTGTTATGGTACTTTTCCTCATCCTCATTTCAGACAGTGACAAGGATACAAACTATAGTACTGTATCATCCTTTGCAGATGACACTAGAATTTTCATGAGAGTAGACAATACAGAGCACAGCAAACCTCCAATCCGATGTTAATGAAGTCTTTCAGTGGGCCACAGAAAATAACATGATTTTTAACAAGGATAAATACCAGGTACTGCGCCATGGAAAACCCAAACATCAAAGTAGAAACTGCATGTAAGAGTCTAACCACACTATTGAAAGAAAAAGCAATGTAAAAGATTTAGGAGTAATCATGTCAGAAGACCTTACTTTTAAAGAACACGACAAAGTTACTGTCACAACTGAGAAAAATCAAAGGTTGGAAAACAAGAACCTTCCAAGCAAGAGATGCCATGCCAATGATACTTTTTAAGACATTAGTGCTCTCTAGATAGGATTATTGTTGCACAGTAACAGCCCCATCCAAAGCTGGAGAAATTGCAGACCTGGCGAGTGTGCAAAGATCTTTTACTGCTAAAATCCACTCAAACATCTAAATTATTGGGACAACCTAACAATTTTAAATCTTTATTCCTTAGAGTGCAGGCAGGAGAGATATATAATAATTTACATTTGGAAAATATTTGGAGGACTGGTACCAAATCTGCACACAGAAATAACACCACACAAGACCAAAAGGCATGTTAATATGTGCAAAATAGCCCAACTGAAAAGCAGAGGGGAAATATACACGCTGAGAGAACTCAATCAACATGAAAGGCCCAAGACTTCAACACTTTTCCCCCTACACGTATAGGGCATAACTGGCTGACCTCTTGCAGTGTTCAAAAGAGAACTCTTCAAGCGCCTTCAAAGGATACCTGATCAACCAGGCTGTGACTTGTATATCAGGCTGCGAACAGCTGCATTGAACAGCCTAGTTGATCAGACAAGCAACCAGGAGGCCTGGTCATGGACTGGGCTGTGGGGACATTGATCCTTGAAATTTGCAACGGGTAGGTAGGAAGTGGACTAGAAAAACAAAGTTAACATTTTATTAAATAGGCAATACAGAGTAGAAAAAAAGAGACTACTGGATCATAGAAAAAGAACACAAAATTTTGCATAGAGGAAAATAAGCTCGAAAGAAAGTCATGCATGAATATATCATAGCCAAGAATCAGCTTAAAAACTGCAACAGCAGACAGTTATTCCATGTGATCTAGCTGAGGAAACACAGGGGTATTCTCAGGCTGAGTGGCAAGGTGTGCATAAACAAATTTAAGGTGGTTTATTTAAAAAAAAAAAAAGTGGAGACATGAAGGGTGGGAAAAATATTTGGCTGGATACATCATTAGATGATGTACCAGAACCATGCCAAAGTAGAGGTGAAACTACTAGGTGGTCTGGATATAACAAAACAATGAAGCTAGGCTTAATAGTGTCAAGGCTGCTGAAAATAGCTAGATGTAATTTGTCATTGTATTTACAAATTTTTTAAATTATATAGAATCAAGACGAGCAATCTCCCAGAAATCTGGAACAATTGTAGTTACAATATTAAAAAAAAGAGACGTAGGGAGCACCAAATTATAAACTAGTGTCTGTGGCATGTATTCCTTGTAAAGTGCTGGAGAAAATAATCAGGATGAGAACAATGGAACACTTCAAGAGTGTAAACTTTGTAATGGAAGGGTAACATGGATTTAGAGGGATAGTCATTTCTAACAACTTAAGTTTAATGACAAGTTAACCAAAATATGAAGAAAGAAGAAGGCTAGGTAAACTCCATCAGTCTTGAGAACAAATCCACAAGGGCCGTGACGAGGATTCGAACCTACGTCAGAGAGGATCGCAGACGCTGCCTTAATCGACCGAGCTACGACATGGTCAAAAGAATGGCAACCAGAAGTTCTGCTGAACTACTTCTGTTCTACTGAACTTACAAAGAGGTAGAACAGCTTATTGATAGAGCTCGAGTGCATGGGGGGAATTGTGTAAAACCCTGGTTTGTGTCTCAGAGAGGCTGCAGGATCCAAGCAAGTTCAGTAGAACTTCTGGTTGCAATTCTTTTGACCATGTCGTAGTTCAGTCGATTAAGGCAGCATCTGGGATCCTCTTGGACGTAAGTTCGAGTCCTCGTCACGGCCCTTATGGATTTGTTCATTTGATGCATCACGCTATTGGCATTTCTGTGTGTAGTGACCCTCATTCTCGATTCAAAAAGTATTTATGGTGTTCCTCATGAAAGGTTAGTGTACAAGATAGCTGAGCTTGGATAATTGGGCAAGGGAATAACTGATGGACAGAAAACAAATGTTACCATCAGTGGGGTCGAGCTGGGGAGAACCCGACAAGCTTGACTGCAATGATCAGTCATAGAATCATTAATGTTCCTAATTTGTGAATTACTACCCAAGGAAGTGAGCTCATATGTCAATGCTCATAGATGATGTGAAGGTAATGAGAGCAGTGACATCTGAGGAAGATTGCAGTAAATTACAGGAGTATATTGACAAATAACAAAAGAGGACATATAGTTCAGTTCAGTCACAACAAGTGTAATGAAAATATGGAAAGGGAAAGGGGGAGAAACCATAAATCTTTGGAATGCAGGTACAGGAATTGGTAAGCTAGACACAAGTGAATGTAATTCAATACTAACAGCTAGTTCACAAATTAGTAACATTGCCAGCTTACGGGAAGCTAGCAAACATTAGAATGGCATTTAAAATCTGAATAAGGACTCATTGAAGATCAACACAGCCTATGTTAAGACAATAGTAAAATACAGCACCAACATTTAATCCATGCCTCATAAAGGACAAATAGAAGATGTAGAAAGGCTTTTAATGTGATTTGTGCCAGAGTAAAGAGGGCTAAATTACAAGTACGTACTGGGGATGGGAACTAAATCTTACAACCCCCTAGAGGACAGAACGGGGAGAATATGATCACTGCATAAAGGATACGGAGGGAAATAAAATGGACAAGGACAGGATAGACAATATTTGGTTAACTTGTCATTAAACGTGAGTGCTTGGTTAGGTGGAAAGTAGAAACCCAAATGAGTTAAATATATGTAGAGAAATATTTATATCTTGTATGGGGTAAAAGTAGTCTTGAAAGCCACCTTCATCCACAAATTTTAGGGACATAATTCAGTAGTAATTCATTGTGTCTGGGGACAGGCACTCCTTAGGTATTCATACACGTTAGCCTTATATCGTGGCCTTCCCACCCCCTAGGTTGAATTACTGACCCCGCCCAGGGTGCAACCCCACAACAAGCCGAGTATTAACTGCTGGGTGAACAGAGGCATTAGGTGATAGGAAATGTGCCCAACCATTTCTGACCCCCCAGGGATTCGAACCTGGAAATCTCAATTGAGAGTCTAGAACGAACCCGGCTGTGCTACCGGGATTCTTTGTTACATATGTAACAAATGTAGAATTCAAATTATAGTTAAAATAACATGCTAGGTATATCAAAGCTAGTAGGCAGGAAATGAAGGGCTAGACCTTGCTTCTCGGCCAGTGTTAGGCAAGCACCACCACCCAGTTTCTGCCACTTCCTCCATGTACCACCACCACCAATAACTCTCCATCCCTAATTTGGCATCTGATGCTTATATTTCCTCACTGCCTTCTCTAACTCTATACTGTACTCATTACATTTACTCTGCCCATTACACAAGCCTGAGCTAGCCTGTATTCATTACACGAACCTGAGCCCATTATACCTAGTAATATTTGCATCCCCCTGTACTTAATACATCACTCTGTTTGTATCAAGAGATGTGCCACCCAGTGGATTGCTTCCGTATGCTCGAAACTTTTTTAAATGGTTGAAATGTAATGCCACTGTTCTTCACTGTTGTTTACAAATTATTAATTGAATTAGTAATAAAATTATATCCCTTGTAATAACTGCCTCATCATCATAGTTTTTTTTTTTTTAGTATTTTTAATTCTGAAACATACATGTGCTCGATACCTTTCGAAAGATCAGATTAGATTTTTTGTTTACGTTTGAATTATTGTGGGATTTTATAAGTACTGGTATTGTCAAAATTTGACAGTCTTGTACTGTCAAATTTAATTTCAAACTTTTTCATGTTAAAATGAAAAGTCAATTTTTTGTCAAACTATGCTATATTGTTTGGTAACATTAGATTCTCTAGTATGAATAACAGTGATAAGAATTTTGGTAATGTTTGAGTATGTATTGCTGATCATAGATGCTGCATAATAACCACATTAACAAGGTATGTATAAATCATTTCTTATAGTTAATGCTTGTCTATATGTGAAAGTTGTGCCTGATTGATATTTTATAGAACAGGGGGATGGCTGTCACAAATTAGTGTGACCACAAATTAGTAGATCATTTATGTAGAAGATGAACATTACTGGTGCAAGAACTGAACCCTGTGGTACTCCACTAGTAACACTCCTCCAGTCAGATACATTGCCTCTGATTACTGCCCTCATCTATCTGTTAGAAAATGGTTCACTCATGTCAGAAGTCTTCCTGTCACCTCTCCAGCATGTCTCTAGTTTCCAAAAACAACCTCTTGTATGGGACTCTATCTAGACCTAAAAAAAACTTTTGACAGTCAACCCAATTATCTCTCCTGTAGAATCTCTGTGGCTCTATCATAAAAACTAAGTTGATTTGTTACACATGATCTTCCTGTTTGAAAACCACTCTATTGTGTCATTACTCTGCAGGTGTTCTACCCATCTGGTTTTAACTAGTTTTTCTAGTGTATTGACTACCATATTTGTTAATGACATAGGTCTATAATTTAGAGGGTCTTCTTGGCTACTATTTTTGCGCGAGCGTATGTGCTCTTGCATCCGTCCATCCGTTCCCATCCATCCGTGGAAGAGAGAAATGTATCAATGCATAAGCTGAGAACAGGAAAGTCGCAGGCATTGATGAGGTTTATGCAGAAGTTATTGTTGCTATGGAGAAAAGGGAATAGAATAGAGATGAGGCATTTCATAGTGAATGTATCATACTGTTCCACATGATTGTAAAAGACCCTGTGACTTGATACGAATCGAATTTAACAAAACCTTAACATTATCTTGAAGGCCCTCATAGGCCTTGAGGCCCAGAAAACCCATGATATTTAAGTTGTGGGGCTCACCAGAACATAGTGTGTGTGTGTGTGCGTGTTGAAACCTTTGCCTGGGCTATAAAGATGTGCATGCTTACCTGTCATATATGGGAGGGAGATCTTGCTCTAGATCTTTTGATTGCTCAGATTTTATTCCTCGTGCAAATTAATGATTTACTGTGATTGACCAAGCAAGAAAGTTGGGCTTTCATAAACTCCTCACCGAACACTACTTTCTCCTACCAACTATTTAGTTATCCTACGTGAGGAAAATGTGCTTTAAAGTGAATTCGTGTATAGCATCCACGTATGACTAGAGCACTGCCCTTCATGGGGGGAGAGGGGGGGGTAGTGAATATGTATGTAGCATAGTTATGCAAGTGGTATTATGGAGAAGAATAACATAGTAATAACATTACTGTACCTGAAAAAAATAGTGAACATTTTCAGAGTGACTACGGTTTTAATTTTCCATAGCCCTATTTTGCGGAACATTGTTTTTGTGTTTGCTGTTTTCAGAAATGTGTAACTTGTCTTGCAAGATTTACCAGGAAAATATGTAAAGGACCTGGGAAAGGATGTCTGATCTTTCAGACTTGGGGAAACTGTAATGTTTCCCGAGCATAATTAAGCAAATAAGTGTCAGTCAAGAAAATGGCAAGATGGATTATAACAACTTTTGAATCCATTCAAATCCACAATGTACATACTATTCAAATTACTTCTGCTGTTCCTCCTTGAGTACTGCTCAGTACTTGTTTCCCTTTTCAGAGCAGGTGAGATTGCTGATATAGAGGTAATGCAGAGAATATGTACAGCATGCATAGATATTGTAATGTACCTAATCTATTGGGGCCATCTGAAAGCTCTTAAAATGCGCTCTAGAAAGGAAACAAGGGAAATATCTCATAATATATACATGGAAGATACTGGAAGGCCAGGTCCCAAATTTACACAGTAAAATAACAACTTACTGGAGTGAATAATAAGGTAGGAAATGCAGAATAGAGCCTGTGGGAGTAGAGGTGCCATAGGCAATTAGAGGTCTATGGCTACTAAATACCCTCCCAGCAACAATGAGAAATATTGCCTGAGCAAAAAACAGTACTTCAAGAAAAACACGTTCGTGCAAGATTTACGGGACCAACTGGGCTGTAGTAAATACATGGCTTGTGGTCCACTACAAGTAACAGTCTGTTGTACCAAGTTATCACAAATTAAGCCTGGCCTCAAGCTGGGCTTGGGGAGTAGAAGAACTGTCGAATATTGGAACCATTTCAGGTATGACTCGAGTATGCATTAATTGATGCCACAGGATTAACATGGGGTTTCTGAAACTTTAGTTTAAAAAATCAACAAGGAGGGGAAAATTGTAAAGAATAATTTATGAATAGTGTGGTGGGAAATTTTACAAGTAAATGTATAATTGAATTGTACTGTACTGTATTATACAAGTAAACTCGGTCTTATTGAAAAATGAGAGAACTGGTAAGATGGACAACTTTGTGAAGTGTTTAGTATGAAATAAAAGTTGAGAAAGGCTATTGTGTGTATTGATAGTTTAACTATTGTTAAACCCCTCAGTGATGAGGACAGTGGTCTGGTAGACTTTGACTTGTAGGAGGAATAACCCAAAGGACTTGGGTTACTCCTTTGGGTTACAAACACAATCGAGGATTAACCCAAGAGTTGGAGTCTGCTAATTGCATTAGTTAATCATTGGTTTTTAGTAAATTTGCTATTTGAATTACATTCAGGCCCCTGATCACTTTTTGCTTTGAAGCAAATGGAGTAAATTAAATTTGCAGAAAAATTCAATGTTACTTATTGAATGGTTGTGATTTGGAGTACTTTTCTGTGTTTGAATGTCTAGTATCTTGAAGAGATATATATATATGTAGATAAAAGGGTATTGAAATACATAGATGGTGTAGTATATATTTATTACTTCAGTCTTCCCTGTGATTTGTTTGTTTACGCTTTGGATATGTTCTTTCTATTGCAGATCTTATTCAAGAGAGGGGAAGTATTCCAGAAAGTAATGGTATACAATATACTGCAACTACACACACACACACACACACAGACACACATGTTCTCACCAGGCGGATGTTTTCCCAGTGTTGAGACTTTCACAATGGAAGTACACGGCAGAAGTAAGATTTCTTTACTTAACCTTATTTCCTCATTAATGTGCTGTTTTAAGAGTAATAGGAAACACAAATTATATATAACTTATAAATGTTGAGACTGTTTTCCTTTTAAGAACTTTTGTAGTTTCTCAGAGTTGTGATGTTCTCCACACTGAGTTGAGCTCATATGACCCAATGTAATGCCCTGTTAAAATATGTGACTTTATTAAGTTATCTGGACTAATTTGAAGTTCACATTATATACTTTTGTGCATAATGTGTATGTGTTCTTGGGATCATGATCTGATTTAGTATGTAGTAATAATAATTTGTTCACATCTGGCTCTACAAATAATGACTGTTTCTGGGTCTTGAAATTGAAGCCTGTTAAATTTTTAATTTCAAAATGCAGTTTTTTTACTTGCTATTTTTGAAATTCCAAAGAAATTAGAATTATGAGGGCATTAAAGCAAATAAGCTGTGGTAAATATTGTGTGTTGTGGTTCCTGTGACTATGCAAATGTGTTGTAATGTGTAGTCTGTAATGAAATATAGGAGCTATATGAAAGAGATGTGAATGGCTGGTCAATACCAGTCAGGAGTAACAAGTGATGTTATAAACATTGTAGTAGTTGGATGGTTAAGGGAACAGTTGCTGTATAGTTACCAATTAAGTACCATTTCTTGCATTTGACATTTGCCCATCAGGTACTACGGCATGCTTAGTAATTCACACTATTGAAAGTTAAACTTGGACGAGTAGTTCAGTCTCGGTGCTTACCAATATTTACTCTCCACTCTGCCATAAAGTGTAAGTGAAAATAAAAAAAAAAAATTCCTGTTTTTATTATAAAAATTTTTTTACTCAAAATCATAGACATGACAATAATATTTTGCATACTTGGGCTTTGTACTTTGAAAACTGCTTGCTTTTGCAAACTTCTGTGTAACCATGTGAATTTTGTGCATTTTAATTATACAGTACTTGAAATTCAGAACTAGATTCTTTGGTTAAATTTCTTAACTTGGTGGATGGAGTATGAAAATGTGCGCTAATATTTGTCATATATATAAGATTTGTAGCAGTTATACAAGTATTGGTTATATTTGTTTGCCATCCTTCCCTTATCTGCTTGCTTTGTTGATCACTTCAATTAAGCAGCTGCCTTTGGCTTGGCTTTCTTAATGGTCTTCTTAATTTCCTTTATCCACTTCTCACCTCACCACTTTTCACCTTGCCACTTCTAACCTCGCCACTACTTGCCTCTCGCCTCACCAGCATTATTGCCTTCCATCAGTTTTGGTTTGATAAAAGTCTAGGACGAACAGGAAGTGACCTTCATTTTCATACATGGGAGTTGGCTTGCGTAATTATTTACAACTGGAGCATCATAATTTTGTTACTTTGCTTTTTAACATTTAGTTTCTGCAGCTGTAAGCTGATTTTAAATCTGAGTATGTATTTGTGAATTAGGTGTGATGGAATGGTTTTGGGTCCCTACTTGTGAATCATCAGTCTGCTTGTATTGCTCTTTGCATTAATTTAGTGTGGATTGACCTGCAGCTTTGTAAGTGAGCACAAGCCCAAACAGTATTTTAAAATATTATGCCAGTTAAGTTTATCAAGTTATTTTCATATCACTGGCTTCATACCAGGATGGAGTGTTTATATTGGAAGCAGGAATTGTGAAGTTGTGTTCTTGATAACACTGACAGTAACTTAAAAGGAAAGAGTAATGTGTGTGCACAACTTAATGGTGAATCTACCCATGGTTTATCAATACTGAAATAATCTGCTGTATCAAACTTGTTTCTGTTCATTAATAAATAAGTTTGTTTTTGTTTGGAAGCTAACTAATGAATGTTTTCTATGTGCACTTATTGTGCAACATGTGCAACAACTTCACTTTTAATGTTTACAAATGTAATTAGGGATTAGTTTTTGAGTATCAAATTACAATTGATCCATTTCAATAAGTATACAAATGCTTGTTTTAATATGTAAATTAATATGCTTTACTCAACAAGCAGTTTGATTTAAAGATTAGTTTTTAGTGATTGTTCATATTTGAATTGCAGCCGTGAAGGTCCAAAGTTTGGATTTTTTGTAGTTGTATCTTCTTTACAACACACACATTTATATCTGCAGATTTATTAATATCTTGATAGCCATTAACAAATTCTATAGTATACTTATTGAACATAGGCAGTACGTAACCATGTAAGGAATATATATATATATATATATATATATATATATATATATATATATATATATATATATATATATATATATATATATATATATATATATATATATATATATATATATATATATATATATATATATATATATATATATATATATATATATATATATATATATATATATATATATATATATATATATATATATATATATATATATATACATACATACATACATACATACATACATACACATACACATACACATACACACACCGTGTACAGTACAGTATAGTATTTTAAATAGTAAGATAGAATAAACGGGCATATGACTTGTTTAAAAGAAAATGCTTAGCAGCTTTTTTTTTTTTACAGTTGCTTTAGGATTTTTTCATCATAAAATTGAGAACTTTATTCAGAAAAGTTTAGAAGTAATCACACTACGGTGCTGCTTGGATCTAGTTGCAAAAATGTTTAATTAAATGCTTACCCTTAATGCAAGGCATGTATCAAGTAGAAAGATTCTTGATTCAACAAACCTGTGGCTTGTTTCTAGAGTAATGTAGAATTATAACTTAATATTAAGTATTGTTCTAATTAGGAAACTCTTGCCACAGCCAAGTTAGATTTAATGGTGTTTATGGCTTCTGGGCCTACTTTGAGGACTAGTAAAAACACCAAGAAAAGGTAGAGTTTTATTGTTTGGAATTGATGACTTGAAAGTGGCTACAAAAGCATTCAATTAATTGGGAAAAGATAATAGCAAAGTGTTGGCAATTAAAGTAATGGAGTGTTGCTAAGAGGACACATCTTGCTTGCATTATGTCATTACACAGTTTCTGGACATTAAAATTGTTACTTTAAATGGGTTTGTGATTCGAGTAGAATTTGATTCGCTTGTGGGTCATTGAGCCAGATAAAGATTAAAGATACTACATAAAGCTTTATCCATTCAAGACGTTATATCCCTCAGTCCGAACATTGTTTTCAAGCTTGCAGAGTTGTTGAAATGTGTGATTCTCCAAGTTCCTTAGATTTAAATATTCCTGTCATGTAGTTGTTGCTGTGGACACTCTTGTTCATGAAAAAGAAAGACCCAAGTACTGTAATAGAGAAACAGGGATAGCCTTAATAGTAAATCATATTCACTGAACTTGATTGGTACTGGATTAGGCTTTGGCTGTCTAGAAAACCAAAGGACACAAATAGATTTTGATAGCAACCCTTATATGGTCATAAAGGACTTATATAATGCCATTTTCCTTGTTGGCCAGAAAAAAACATTGCAAAGTTCTAACTTTTCTAGGAAGCAAATTTGTTAAGTGTACCTATATGTAGAGTGGGGAAAAGAAACCTCATAGCAACGTGTTTATTTTGATGTCTCTCAATAGCTTATGCAATAGTTTCAGGAGGCAGGTGCCCCTAATTTTCACCAACAATTTGTCATTCTGTTCCAGTTATAATAATCTGTATCGGTTGCTTTCTGTATCATCCTGTTTTGTTGCAGGATAAGTGCTGATAAGGTAGTAGCCCCAACTATAATATGCAAAATTACTTGGTAGTCTCATTGTCAACATTACAGTTTTGAGCCACAAGCACTGCTAGCTGTGTAGTTTCAACTTTATGCCACATCCATGTGTAGGAAAACAGTTCATTCAACTATTTAACCCAGTATCCTGACTGACTAGCAGTTGGAGAGTTTGCTAGAAGTCCCAGTAATCTTATCAGGTTTGCATATAAATCTTTTTGTGGATAATTGTATGTGTTGGAATAAAAGTTTTATAGTTAAGCTTGTTTTATATAAACTCCTAAACATAATTGGGTCAGTATTTGAGAAGCGATTTCTAAGCCAAAATGAACATTGTAAAGTTGTTAAAATGGGATATTGAGGAGGTGCCCTCTAGGGTGCTGGCTTGTGTTAAAGGGCCCTTCCAAAGTGTCACCTTGTTGTGGTTGAGGGGGCTCACATGTGACTCCCTGGGGCCAGTGAGGGTTGCCTTAGCACGTACAACACCCATAGAGGAAGGACAAGGTAAACCCCCATAGGGATCTCATTTGGGTCAATGAACCTTCCCATGGAGTAGGAAGGTTCATTGACCCAAATGATGGGTCATGGAGGCACTGCTGTTGGTGGATGGTTGGGTGTCCAGGAGGTGGGGGGGGGGGGGGAAAGAGGTCTTTACAGCAGTGTGGGAAAATGTGAGGCGGTAAGATTTCCGTTAAAAAGGGGCAGCACCATCGGCGACAACGCACCCCCTTCCTGGACTGGCCAGCGCTCGGCCTCCCTAGCCACTTACTTCCAAGGTACGTGGTATCCCTTGGGTCCAAGACACTTGAAATTTCAAGTAATGCTGTATGGGTACTGAACAGACTTCTCTTACCCAAGGCTAGTGGGGTACGCAACCAGGCTTACCAGAGTTGGATTGTGGTGGAAGGAGGGGCTCTGTAGCCCCAGCTACATTGGGCCCAGACCAAGCTGCTTCTGACTCTCCCAACTGACCCTCTGTTTCCTTCCTACCCCTGTGGCAGGATTGAGCCTCGAGCCCCCAGTGGCAACCACCTCATCACTGGGAGTGGCTCCATCTCTTGTGACAACTGCACCTTCTACTCCCCATTTTTACTGTGGGTGCTCAGTGCCGCCGCTACCACACTCCAACGTGCACGATTCCTTCCCGATTTACTACATTCCAGAATTTGTTTGATCCTGTTAAGTGGATTAAGTATTTTAATCTCAATCATGTTGATCCTGCATGTCCTGATGATTTATTCAGCCATAAACACCTAATGGGTTTATCTAATTAAAAGTGACCGTTGTCACTTAACCCCACCCATACTGGAACACGTGTAGTTGCAGCCACTTCTCACCAAGTGGCCAACTGCCTAGCTTAGACTGCAGTTAGGATCTCAAAAAAATGCCTGGTTAAATGTCAGCATTAACTGTCAGCATTGGCACAGTTATTCTCCCGCACCATGTTGCTACTGGTTGACATTGGGTCCACAGCTGTTCAATACCCTCCTGGCAAGCATTAGAAATATTGCTGGAACAAAGATGGATGTCTTTAAGAGGGACTTGGACAAGTTCTTGCAAGAAGTGTTGGACCAACCAGACTGTAGTGGATATGTGGGCTTGGAGGCTGCTCCAAGCAACAGCCTGTTGGACCAAGTTATCACAAGTTGAACCTGGCCCCAGGCTGGGCTCGAGGAGTAGAACAACTCTAGAAAAACACTTCAGGTAGTGGTGATTGAGAACTCGGACTGCCATGAGGATATTAAATACAACCCCGAGGTCCAAGGCCATTCTATCCTCCAAATTAATACGTTCACTCGACCCTTCGTGGTGGTCATCATTAGCCTCTTCGCATAGTAAAAAATAGTAAAAATCACTTGTTTTTTTTTACTATCTGTGAAGACTGCAACAGAGTGGGAGCATGAAGAAAAGTGTGCAAGGAGAAGGTAGGAGGGGTAGAAGCCTTTGCCATGTGGGTCAAGGTTTTGCAAAATTTAAGAAGTGGGACCCTCCACAGGGGCAAGGATGGAATGGCACTAGGAGAAATATTGGTACTGTAACACGAACCGAGAGAATCTTGCAAGCACGACTACCGTACAGAAAAAGGAAGTTGATGAAAGGGATCAGGGCCCACAGGAGCAATGGGGGCAGCGCACCCTAAGCATGAATCAGAATGCCCCCAACCAAGAGCCCAAGTAATTGAGGATTCACAAATAGCCCAAGGCTAAGCACTCTGTTGAAGTTCAAGTATGCTTATTGAGACAATAAAATGCATCTCAAAGGGATAGAGTAGCTTAGAAATAGCCTATCCTCCAACCACTCCATCCCGTTGGCCTGGCATCTTGGGTCACTGGGACAGCACTAATGAGCACTCAGGTGAAGAAAACCGTGAGTACAAGTGCTTGAAGTGCAAAACCACCCAAGCCCACAGAACAGTCTTATGAAGCAAGCACTACAATAAAAAGGATGAAACCCTAGCAAATGGCCCCCACAGGAGAGTCCAAAGGATGGGCAGCTGAAAGCAGAAGGGTTTGCTGTGAAAACTAATTATCAACAGCACTACAGGATGTTGATACAACCACATAACTGTCCCAGGAAAGCTGGCACTGGGCCAGAGCCAGTGCCATCTGGTGATGGCTATTGGTACTATGGTTCACTCAAAAATATAGTAATTCAAACCCAAATAGTTTCATTTGAATAGTTTGCAGAGTTTAGTGGTTTTAAGGTTTCATTGTCTGTGCAGTTGTCAGTAAAACTTTGTTGACTTTCAGGATGCTTTCCCAGTGGGTTGGGTTATTGTCACTCCCTACATCTCTGAGGGGAACAGGTTTTGGCTTTGGTCCCCAGCAGGCCAAACAGAACTCCTGCTACTGATGTGACCCAATAGTTTGGATCAATCTCTGCAAAATAACTTCATGTAACCACCAAGGGGCTTCCCCAGAAAATCAAGATGCAACTTATGTTACCACACCTGTCTGAGGGGCCTGACAGCTGAATGGACAGCGCTTCAGATTCGTAGTCCTGAGGTTCCGGGTTCGATCCCCAGTGGAGGTGGAAAGATATGGGGTAGAGTTTCATTCACCCAGATGCCTGTTACCTAACAGTAAGTAGGTACCTGGGAGTTAGACAGCTGCTACGGGCTGCTTCCTGGGGGTGTGTAACAAAAAGGAAGCCTGTCAAGGACCGGGCCGCGGGGACGCTAGGTCCCGAAATCATCTCGAGATAATACTGTACCCGAATGAAGTGACCAAAATAAACAAAAACCCTAATATTTCACATCTCTCGCTATACTGTTACGGTAGGAGGCAATGAGCAGCCCATTTAATTCCTTTGGGCAATTTGATTCGCCTTCTTTTGATAATTTAGAAGCTATGCATACAATTCAGAGGAAATTATTTTCAAAAAAAAGTACTGCATTTCATACCCAGGTACCTTATAGCTTGATTACTGTAACATGCACTCGGACAATGTTTACTTCCAAATATTTAAGTTGCATGATGGTTTAATGATAACCATTTCATGATTGGAGACCTTTCTAGTCATGATCTGACAAATTCAATGAAAATAAAACTAGTTTACATTTTATTTATACTATTTATATGTACAATACTTTATACAAATTGCTTACTTAGGCTGAGGGTATTTCTTCAAAAGTACATTAAGTTGCTTGTGGGAAAGATTCTTCTCACCAGGTACGAGAAGCCCTTGTCTTTCCTGAGCGTTCTTCATCCTTTGTGAATGCTAAGAAGAAAGTCAAAGAAAAAGATTATATTTTTTTTACAATGGTATTGGTACATAAAAATACTCTCCTTGAACCTGTTGATGTAATTCACTCAACTTCACTAACTTACATATATTGATATCATTAACACAATTTTCTGAATATACAGCACGATGGCTTTATAACACTGTCTGCACTACAGAATATTTAAGTTTGAAGACATCATACAGGATGTCAAAACAAGATCAGATTAATTGCATTGAGCAGATTAGTTTGTCAGATTCACAGAGGATGTTAGCGAGGGACATAAGACTCAAAAGTACAGTGGGAAAGCAAAATTATCCAGAAAATAAGGAACATTCTACGAGGATATGATTGACTATAACAATGCAGTTCTGACAGTACGGTGAAGGTCTGTTAAGTGCTCAGGAGTTAATACTGTGTGGCTATTAAATAACTTAATCAGAGACTTTTACAGTAAGAAGTGGAAGGCCACATTTGATAATGCAATACTGTACATAATTTGTTACTTGTTGTAGATAACCATCTGTGGAAACTTATTCCACTTTGTATTAATTTACTTATTTAGTATTACTGTATTAAATATAAATCAAATTTCTTGATTATTATTAAATATGAGAATCCACTGGTACATAAATCATGTGCTACAGGGTCCACACATCTCTCGAATCATTTATTAAAGACTCCAAATTGTGGTGATAAATTAAGATAGTTATTCAGGATTGTTCATCACCAAATTAATGACAGATTTTACAATACCAATTATGCCTATCACCATGAAAATTAACGTGTGTTCAACATTCCATAAAATATAATTCTGAAAATGATTTTAAGAGTTTATTATAAATTCTAGTGTTATTCCAAAGATGCCAGTCAATAGCTAGGCTACGAAACAAAATTGAAAACAGAAGATCTCCTTTATATGAACATCCATTAAATGAACACACGTCCATCCAAACAGCCTCTAAGTCCCCTTTCATCCATCATTCTCCAACCAAACTCATTCCGCCATCTCCAGTATTACAAGCAGCTCTAAAACGTTCACACAATGACCACAAGGTGGCATAGGATGGTATAAAAATGTCAGCATGGCCCAATGGGGGGAAAGATGGGATATGGTCAAACCATACACTAGACTGTCCGATAACGTGATTGTCAAAACCCTAAATATCATTAGTTTAGAGTGTATTACCTTAAATTATGCTGTGTTAGGCTTGGCTGGGTTCCTCCTCCGTGGAAACTAACTACCCACGGAGGAGGAAAACAGATGTTAAATCACCATGAAAGAGGAAGAATTTAAGGATTCAAAACGAAGAGGAGACACCACAAGAAAGACAACACTTGGAACAGAGGACTAAGGAAAGATGATGAACACACGAGGCAGCCCCCAAAGCAGAATCAGTAGTATGAATGTAGTGGCAGACAGCCTACACTAAACACAACACACAATGCTTCTCCAGCCGAACCGTCCCCCCCCCCCCCCCGTAATCCAACTGACTCTGTCTTCACCAGAAAAGAAGCTAGAGACAGCTAAATAGAACACCCACCAGGGCCAAAGAACAAAATGCCCTACCTCCAGAGGAAAGCAGGAGTGCCCCAAAAACAACAAAAACAAAGTAAATAAACAATCACAGACCAAAGGGGACACCATAAACTGAGAGGAAGAAACGCAAGAACGTGACCCAAAGTCCAAGCAGACTCAGGTAGTGAGAAAAAAAAAGAAGGGGGAGCATCCCCCCACTCAGAAACCAAAGAACAACAACGAAGGGAAAGCAAGTGGCAAAAGGAGTGCCACAAAACTACAAACTGTCGCTAAGAAGAGGAATGCAGGTGGGAAACCAAAGAACCACCTGTTCCATGTAAAGATGGTGAGAAACATACATAAAAAACACCATATGCAAAGACCGGAGGAGAAAGTCGACTCAGTGAAGTACAGTACATGCCCAAAGAAATGGCGATAACATGATGTATCGATGAGAAAATCAGGAGCAACCATGAGGATGATTCGAACCTGTGCTCTGGATATTCCCAAGCAATGCAATCTGAAATTCAAATGAATCCTCTAGGGAGTCCAGTGGCTTCCAACTAAAGCCTAATCAAGGTTTCATGCATTGCCCCCATGCACTCTGGTCATAGTCTAGGAATTCTAAGAGGATTCAGTTGAATCCCAAGTGGTAGTGCTCTTAACCATGTGGTGGTGTAGTGGTCTAAGGCGTTTGCTTGTGAGTACCAAGAGCATAGCTTCGCATCCTCCTCATTTTTTTACAGATTTTATCCTACTGATACATAACATTAATGTGATTTCTTTGTGCAGCTGAAGAGAAGTATTGGAGGTAAAACTCCTAGACTATGACCAGAGTGCATGGGGTAATGCATGAAACCCTGATTAGGCTTTAGTTGGAAGCCTCTGGACCCCTAGAGGATTCATCTGAATTTCAGGTTACATTGCTTTTGACCATGTTGTGGGGCAGTGGTCTGAGGCATTTTCTTGGGAGTACCCAGAGCATAGGTTTGAATCCTCCTCACTGAGTCCGTACTGTGAGGCAGACGAAGGAGAGGAGACCAAAGACCCTGACTAGCTTGGCGAGTGCTGGTCACAAAACCCTAACACAGAGCTGAGGCATCAGTGATGACGTCGAGTGAGGGGCAGAGGTAGACACCATGGAACTCGACCCTAAAAAGCCCCAAGAGAAAGCCGGCAAAGAACCAATGAGGCCTGCACCCAACTATCACAGTGGCAGTGAAAGGGGCTGCCCCAGAGATACCAGACAGCTCCCAAAGCCAAACCCCTACCCATAGGAAACTGTTGGAAGAAATGTTCAGGCACCCACACAACTGCATGAGCAATCATTGGGTCACCAGGGGCCAACTTGACACCAACAGATGGTGGTGCTACTGCAGTCGGGTCAAGGCCGCCAGAGGCAGGGAAAGTGACGCTAACCGCGAGTTCAAAACGAGGCCCAGTCGAGACTGAACCTGGGACGGAACCAAATGGAACTTCCATTAGCTCACCAGGAATCTGAATCCAGCAAGCTGGGAAAGAACCAGAACCTTGGCTAGACACATTGACTGATTAGGAGTCAACACCAGCCAGTCATTGAGATAAGCCAAAAGAAATATCAACAACCGAAGACGAGCCACAACGACTCGAGCAAAGCATGTGAATAAGTGTAGAGCTAGATGCAGAAAAAACAGGAGAACCTGAGAGCAGTAAGCCTGTTGCTCCACCACAAAACCTAACTAATCCCTGAACCCAGTATGGACAGGGACGTGCCAATACATGTCCTGCAGGACCAGGAAAATCACCCAAGTGAAAGTGGTCATCTGGAAGGAGGGGGCAAGGAAAGTACTGGGTCAGCCAAACAAAATTTAGGTTGAATCAAAGGTCCAGCAAATCCTGTGTCAGGACTGGGAAAGGTAAAAACCTCCACCAAAGTGACAAAGTTTGTCCCAACAAAGACAGAAACAACCCACTTCAAGATGACCTGACACTGGCTAGAAGAGGATGCTTGCCCAGAAAGATCTAAACCCCCAGAAGGGGAAAGAACTGACCAATTCTACCGCAGGCCATGGAAAATGACTCTTAAAGCCCACAGATCATGGTACCAAGAGTCAGCAAACTGGGGAAGTCGCATCCCCACCATCCCATGAAAGGGACAAACTGCAAAAGGCCCAGTGTGAAGGGAAGCACTTGCAACCCTTCATCTGACTAGCCTACCTCAACCAACAGCAGGTGATGCCCAAGCCCCATCTAACTGACTCGAAGAAAAAGGAGAGGATGACAGGGAAGCAAGGGCACAAGCCAAATCCATAGAGTGGGCCAACACAGCCTGTCGATATGCAAGTTGGGCAGCAAAGAATGTGGCTGTAGCCTTCCTGAGCAAGCGGGCATATAGCTTGGCCAGCACAACCAACGCACCCAGAGCCGAGGTTAAGAACCCAGCAAGTGGCCTTTTCCTGCTGAGCATATTAACACCCATCATTAGCCAACAAGGATGTAGCTCAAGGAGACCCAGAAAATGCACAACAGAACTCAAATGTAGATAGGTATGAAGGCCATTAACCACAAGTGACACTGATGACAAGAGAACCTGGACATGGAGCTGCACAAGATGCACATCCATCCACCACAAGCGCCACTGACAAGAGAACCTGGACATGGAGCTGCACAAGACCCACATCCCGAGAATGAGCAAGAGTAAACAGGCAAACATGGAAGGGCACAAAACAAGGAGCCCTCCAGTAAACACCTGCAACATGGTCGACACCTCATGCCACCTAAGTGTGCAGATATGACAAAACGGTATCAAGCACCAAATCAAAATGAGGGACTGTCTGCCAGCCAGGAAGACCCACACATCAAAGAGGAAGGGCCCAGTAATAAGGTGAAATCGGGTCTCGCAGGAGGTACGTAAAAAATAAGGGCCACCCGAGCCGCCGCAGGTGGGACCAGAGAGGCAGGAAACTTCCGGATAAACCCTGACAGGCTCAAAGGCACACGGAACTGAATCCCTGGTGGGAGCTGCACACAAACCATACATATAGAGGGAGGAAGGATAAGAAATCCTCTTCCCCTGCAAAAGGAGTCCATTCTCAGAGGAAATCAGGAACCACATAGTCAAAAAACAAGATCCAAGGGGGCACAAACCCGATTCCTTCCAAGCCCTGTAAGCTGCAGTTGGGGACCCAGGGCAGAGCCTATGTCTTCGCCCACCACCCAGGAGAGACAAGCAAAGTCAAAGGGAGAGGTTTCAAAGGAAAACCCAGAAGGGACCAGGTGGGACCAACCTGGGACCCAGGTGGGACCAACAGGCTCACCTGCCTCTTCATCCAAGTTTGAAGGGGTAACCCCCAATGGTGACTGAGCCACATCATAAACTAAACCCTGTCCCAATCCAGAAACCGTCAGATGCCCGAACCTTCAGGCCAGAAGCAGGGGGTGAAGGAAGTAGAGAAAGTGTGAAACACACCCATAGGTGTATTGATGAAAACAACGAAGTTCACCAATAAATTCCCAATCTGAGTCCCTAAACACCAAATGGGGCAGCTCTGGGACATCCAACCAGGAACACAACACATACCACAGCAATCTAAAATAACAAAAAAAAGTTAAAATGGTCGCTGTCTGGTAAGCCCAAACCTGATCAAGTGGGACAATAAGAGAGTCGCATGGGGAGAGAAATCCCACAGGATCCAGGTTCAAAGGTGTTAGTGACCCAACAGGCAGCATGGTGGAGGGCAGAATGAATTAATGTCACCACATGGAACAGATGACGAGCAACCCTGAAACTCTCACAGAGCGAGAGCAGGTTCAGGGTCAGGGGGAATATCCATAGGACCACAAAACCCGCAAGGGATTTCCAGGACCTGAAAAGGTAAACTCAAGCAGGACACCCAGGCACTGGGATGGCTATGCCGGTCCTAAAAGTAAGCCGACACAGCCTGAGTCACATGGCTATGAGGGCCAGCCTCAGCAGGATGAGCGAAGTGTGAACCACCAGTGTATCCTGCCAGCCAAAGTTGCTCACAACCTGAGTTAATTACTATTACATTTGTTTTATGCAGGAATCCCTCCTTCCAACCAAGGAAGGAAGAAAGGCTGGATGAAAGGAATATCCAGATGCCGCGGCAGGACAAGCAGGCTCAGCTGACTATGCCAGAATCAGAAAGGGCTACCCTGGGGGTAGAGTTCTATTCCCGCCTGGCCCGCAACTTGGTCCAACAGGCTGTTGCTTGGAGCAGCCAGCTCCAAACAACTAGTGGATCCATCCTATCATTTTCCCGACTGCCACTTTATTTGCTAGGTTATGTTCACTAAATGTCAGATCGTAAGACATCATAATTCCCAGATCTTTCACATGGTGCTTTCCTTCTATAAGTATGACTGATTGTGTCCTGTACTCTGTTTCATTTACGTTGCTCACTTCCACCATATAAAAAGTACCTGGAACTTATCTCAATTAAATATGTTACTTTTTGTTGTCCAATCAAAGACTTTATTAATATTGGCTTGTTGTTTTTCAGTGTCTTCTACAGAGGAAATTTTCATGCTGATTTTTCTATCATCTGCAAAGGATGACATAAAGCTGTGACTAGTAATTTTTTCTATTTCCAAGATAAGGATGAGAAAGAGGATTGTACCCCCAAGGACTGTGCCCTGGGGTACAAAGCTTTTCACTGCCCTTGGACTTGATATTATTTGATTAACTGTTACTCTTTGCATTTTGTTTGACAAAGTTGAAAATCCAATGCCCCACTTTACCCGTTACAGTATTCCTACTGATCTCATTTAATGGGCTATCTGGTTGATACCTGGTTGATACCTAGTTGATGGGGTTTTGGGAGTTCTTCTACTCCCCAAGCCCGGCCCGAGGCCAGGCTCGACTTGTGAGAGTTTGTTCCACCAGGCTGTTGCTTGGAGCAGCCCGCAGGGCCACATACCCACCACAGCCCAGCTGATCCGGAACTTCTCTTAGAAAACCGTCCAGTTTTCTCTTGAAGATGTCCACGGTTGTTCCGGCAATATTTCTTATAGTCGCTGGGAGAACGTTGAACAACCGCGGACCTCTGATGTTTATACAGTGCTCTCTGATTGTGCCTATGGCACCTCTGCTCTTCACTGGTTCAATCTTGCATTTTCTTCCATATCGTTCACTCCAGTACGTTGTTATAATTATTATATCACTCCATGCTCACATGTATCAAATGCCTTCGCAAAGTCTGTGTCTACAACATCTGCATTTTGTTTTTCTTTTGATGCTTGTATGATTTTGTCATAGTGGTTGTATAACTGTGAAAGACAGGATCTTCCTGCTCTGATCCATGTTGACCTAGATTGTGAAGTTCATTGTTTACCATAAAACTGGAGATTTGAGTTGTAATCACTCTTTTAAAAACTTTAATTGTGTGTGGCATTAGTGTAACTGGTCTATATTTTTTTGCCAAAGCATTACTACCTCCCTTGTGTAGTGGAGCTACATCTCCTGATTTAAATGCTTCTGGTATCTCCTCTGTATCGAGGCTCTTTCTCCATATTACACTGAGCGCTTGCACTTTTGGCAAGCGCTCAGTGTACTTACTTTACATTTCTTTATGAATATTGAATTCCATGAGTCAGGACCCATTCTTGAGGTTATCTTGAGATGATTTCGGGGCTTTAGTGTCCCCGCGGCCCGGTCCTCGACCAGGCCTCCACTCCCAGGACAGATGACTAACACCCAGGTACTTATTTTACTGCTAGGTAACAGGGGCATAGGGTGAAAGAAACTCTGCCCATTGTTTCTCGCTGGCGCCTGGGATCGAACCCAGGACCACAGGATCACAAGTCCAGCGTGCTGTCCTCTCATTCATAAAGATGCTGTCTGGATCTTCAACTTTTGTTGTTTATTGGGCAGCTAAACATAGCCTCCTACTGGCCTTTACGATTTTGCTAATTTCTTTATTATCCTGTGTACAATCCTTCAGTTGTAAGTATAGGTCCTATACTGATGGAGTTTTATATTTTGATTTTGCATATATGAAAATATATTCGGGGATTTCTTTATTTCTTGTACAGCTTTCTGTTCCAATTCCTCAGACTGGTATGATTGCTTCGGCATCTGCTCTATTTCTTCTATCTCCCTGTTCAGATTTATTTTTCTTTCTTGTGAAGTCGTGTTTTCTTTGTGTTTTGAAAGTTAAACCCTGTCCCACCCTGGAAACCCTCATATGTCACTGGGCCAGAATCAGGTATGAGGGAAGAACTACATTACAGCTCATACATTTTGATAAATTCAAACCTGTTAATTTTTTTATGTTCCCAGTAAAAAACCAAGGTTGAATGTAATGAAACTGCAGGTTCTGGGGAGCCCCAGAGGCTCCCTGACACCCTCCCTTTCCCAGACCGGCATGTGTTTTCAGCATAGAACTGATGCTGGTGAGCCCAGCTGACTCGGGCAGGCTCCCTCCTCCCCACAAACAAGAAAAAAGGTGAAGCAAATTAGCAGGGGGCTAGTTTCACAAACGTTTGTTTTCATTGTTGGGGAGTTCTTTTGGCAATTTTTGTGCTGCAGTGTTATTTTTGACCATGCAGTGGTCTGTTCTGATTTGATTATCTTTCTGGGTGCCTTCCCTAGGTGGTGGCAAGATGATAACCTTTAAATGTAAAGTGTTCATAAGCCATCACTCCCTGCACCTCTCTTAAGAGGGGACAGGTTCTGGTTCATGGTTCCTGGTAGGCAAACAGAACTCCACAACCGATGGCACTATGTAGTATGGCATGTTAGTGTTATAGCTTCAGGAAGCTGATAGGGTTCCCTTCAGAAAAGTTGGATAACTGATGGGGTGGGCCCCATGTTATGATGCAGATTACCAAGCGTATAGCAAACAGATATACCAAAAAATAAAGTGCTATTTTACATTGCTGTGGCAAAGCTGAAATATATTATGACAAATTACTGTAGTAGTACAAAGAAGAAAAACAAAAGTTAATATATTTACCATGAACTCCTTATGACAACTTTGAAAGCTTTCAATTTCTTTTGAGCAAAATGCTTGAGTGAATTCATTTTTTTTCATACAAGCAAACAGAATGGACATCTCCTGAAGACAAGCAACATCTGCAATTAGAAATACTGTATAGTATACGATACAAAGACACTAAACATAATATTGATTAACAGAGAACACCATTGTGCAGATTGCTTTCTGTCTGCCTTTCAGGAAATCAGCGTAAAGCTGAAGTGTAAATCAAACTTAAAAGAAACAGAATTGTACAATATAGGGGAAAATTACAATTCACTCCACAGACCTTAAGTTCTCTTTTCACCCCTTCCAACTAAGTAACTATCAAAAGAAGACACCAAGCCAGGAAGATTATTCAGCATTATTTGTGTTACAGAATAATAAAAAAAGACCTAAATGTCACTCAGGATGCCAATACTAAACCAAAAAAATCCAATATGAGCAATGTCAAAGGTATCTAATTCACCAAAGATATCATTGAGGGACAAGTGACTTAAGGAAACATTGAGACATGAAAAATTAAGATCCTGAAAATCAGGATCAAGCAGTTCAAACAATAAGCAGCAGACCTTTGTTCCATAAGTTAAGCATGTGTGACTGTTGTGCAACCTAGCCAGAGTTGTTCCCACTGCCTATTATGGTACCAGGAGGAAGGCCAATGAGCAAGTTACAAGCCTAATAGTAGGAAGTTTGTTATCCGAAATACCTGAACACCTATCATGCCAATAGTCAAGAATCGTATTAAGATTGGGTAGAAATTTAAATAAGAAAAGCCTTTTTTTGGGAGATGAGACAGGCATGAATGGCCTCCTTAACAGTATGTTGTTGTTGTTATAGATTCAGCTACTCAAAACAAAAGTACCATGTTCTAAGTATGGTGAGCCCGTAGTGGACTCCCTTAGCAGCAGTATCTGCAAGTTTATTAGAGAGAACACCAATATGGTTGGGGTACCAAGCAAAATTTGACTGTCTAAATTTAAGTAATATAGATGAAAAAAGACCATTATTGGATTTTGACCACCACAGAATGGGAAAAGTTAAAAGACTAGAGCCATGGGGTTACAGAAAAAATCAACCATAATAACAAAAGAATGTTGGGTCATAAAAAGCAATTGGTGGGAGTTTACAAAATTGCACAAGCTTAATCATGAAGATGCTAGTCTCCAGAGGAAGGTAACACACATTGGTTTGATCAGAAAAGACAAGAGCAACCAATACCATCAGCAGACTCTGACCTATCTGTGAACAAAGCTCTAGTATGTCAATGGCAAGAAATATGTTTAAGGAAAAAGCTTAGTGACAATACAGGTGTTGGCATATAAGCTCAATGCTGTGACCCCTGTAAATTGATTTTCAAACAGAAATACAATATAAGCTGTCAATTTCCAAACTTTTTTTTTGAGCTAAAGGCCCCCTTAGTTTCATAAACTCATTCCCTAAACCATATCCTATAAAAAAGTAGTAAAGACAGTTCCATAACTTAAGAATCAGATGAGTTCCAAAAGAGCTTCTGTAACTCTTTAACTAGATATTCCATAGATGATGTGCTATAAATAGGGGATGTGTTCCCAGACTATAAAAATCAACAAGCCAAAATGTAGGCCAGAAAACATGTTTTTTTATCTACATGATTATAAAACCCATGTAACCACCTACTACCATCCAAAGCCACAGATGTCAGAACACTGGTGCAATTCAAGATCAAGCCCAATAAAATCAGGACAGATGGATGGGGGGGGGGGGCCTTTAACAAGCCGGTGGTGTCCTATCCTCATCAAGGCCACTAGAGTGTGTACACTCAGGTGAATTTCAGCATACTGTCTTTATATTTTTCACAAGGAAAATCATACTAAACTACATTCATTTGCATTATTTACATTTAAGTAAATTCTTCCATACCATATAAATTCTATAAATTCTTTATACAGGTACTGTACAAGTATTGTGTAATTACAATTAACATGTCAAGAACCCAATGTGTCTCTTCCGTAACTCTCGGCTCTAAACCAGCCTGGAACACAATACATTTAATTCTTACATAACAAATACAATTATTAGTCCAGTATAGTACTTATTGCACAAAGAAATCCCATTAGCATGATGTATCAATAAGAAAATCAGAAGGAGCTATGAGGAGGATTCGAACCTATGCTCTGGGTACTCCTTACCAAACACCTTAGACCATTATGCCATGACATGGTAAAAGCATTGCAACCTGGGATTCAACTGAATTCTCTAGGGATCCTGAGGCTTCCTAAGAAGCCTAATCAAGATTTCACACAATGAAACTACCTACTCACAGCTCCTGATTTTCTCACTGAAGCATCACTGTAATGTGATTTCTTTGTGCATTTGTAGAGAAGCATTTGAGGTAGAATTCCTAGACTACAAGCCAGAGTGCATGGGGGAGTTGTGTAAAACCTATGATTAGGTTTTAGTGGAAGCCTTAGGAACCTAAAAGGTTTCAGTCGAATCCCAGGTTGCAATGCTTTACCATGTCGTGGTGTAGTGGTCAAAGGCATTTGCTTGAGAGTACCCAGAGCATAGGTTCAAATGTTCATCAAGAATCCCACTGATTTTCTCATGCTATTTATTATTGTTTAATATGTTATTGTACTGTAGAATATATATTTTCACTTACTCTGCTGTCTATCATTCTTCCCAGATACATGATCTCTTAGAAACATTGGAAGGACATCGGTGAACGCGAAGGGTCTACGAGCAGGTCTTCTTCCATTTTTTGGTCGAACATTGTTAATATAATACAGCGAGGTGAATGAAATAGGTGTCAGTCTCATGTTAGCTACTGTACCTGAGAAACAAAAATATTTAAGCAATATTTAAAGTTACAAAACAATGGATTTATAAAAGTGATTTGTAATTTTTGACAGTGCACAAATACTTGTGAACTTGCACATAAATTTAACTGGCAATGTTTTAATCACATATTTGGAACCGAGAATATCCCAACTTTTGACAGACAGACAAGTTTGGACATGTCAATAAAAAAAAAAAAATTTCATCCATGTCTGAAGTCTTCCTGTCACCCCTTCAGCATGTTCCAGTTTCCAAAACCTCTGGTGTGGGACTCTCTGTCAAAAGCCTTTTTCAGGTCCAGATAGACACGTTTGCCTTTTTCCAAATATCTGCTAAGATTCCTGTAGACAAAGATGCCTGAAATATCAATTGGAGTAGGATCCTCAGCTCAATTGCACACACTCAACACCCAGGGTGAAACTCCATCTGGTTCAACAGCTTTAGTTCTTCCAAGCCCCTTCAATAAACTTTCCACTTCGTCTCTTGACACCTCTATGCACTCTATGGTGTTTTCTGGAATTGGCATTGGGTCTGGCTCTGAAATCCTAATATTTCACAAACACTTTGGAACTGTTCATTTAGAAGCATTTCTTTTATTTCATTTCCTTTCTTGTGCTACCCACTCACCAGTGGCTGAGCGGACAGCACGCTGGACTTGTGATCCTGTGGTCCCGGGTTCGATCACGGGCGCCGGCAAGAAACAATGGGCAGAGTTTCTTTCACCCTATGCCCCTGTTACCTAGCAGTAAAATAGGTACCTGGGTGTTAGTCAGCTGTCACGGGCTGCTTCCTGGGGGTGGAGGCCTGGTCGAGGACCGGGCCGTGGGGACACTAAAAAGTCCCAAAATCATCTCAAGATAACCTCAAGATAACCCACTCCCTCAATACTGTATATGTGCTTAAGTCATATATTTTCACTATTGTAATTACTATCATCTTATATCATGGTTGTTATGTTGAATGCAAATTTTACTACAATGTACCCAGAAATAATCCTCAAATTATGCTACAATGTACCCAGAAATCATCCTCAAATTATGCTACAATGTACCTGTTGATAATCTTCAAATTTTACCATAATGTTACCTACTAATTTTCTTCAAATTTTCTTACAATGTACCAATTAACATTTTTCACTTTTGCTACAAATTATCTACTTAAAATTATCTGTTCAATGAAGGACCTGCCAAAACACTATGCATGTTAGTGGCTTTACAAGAATGTAGAAACATCAATGCTATGTACTAATTTTGGGTAGTGGAACCCCAGGCACAGATACCATACGTGAGATTGACCTTCGACTCCATAGTGTTGCCATTTCAGGTTATTGTGCTTAACGGTGTCAAAAAAAACCTCGTGCAGGTCAACAAATAATCCTACAGAGTACTCTTTTTTGTCAAGAGTTAAGTGTATCGTGTCAAGCAAATTAATGAGAACATTGCTGGTGCTTTTACAAAGTCTTAAACCATTTTATATTTAGCTAGATAGGAGCAGAGTTGTTGGAGCATTAGTTTTTCACATATTTTGGATAAGGTGGGAAGGTAAATTCAGGATTGATATTCGTCTAAATTTGTTGGCTTCAGTGAGATCACCACTTTTATAGACTGGGATTATCTAGCAGTATTTTAGAATATCAGAAAAAGTTTGGATTTTCTTTTTTTTATATATGCAAGAGTTCTTACATTCTTGTACAGCCACTAGTACGCGTAGCGTTTCAGGCAAGTCCTTAATTCTATGTTCCCTAGAATACGACCCCCGCGAAGAATCGTTTTTACAACCTAGTACCCATTTTACTGATGACTTAAACAGAGGCTACAGTTAAGGATTTGCGTCCAGTAAATCCTCCCCGGCCAGGATACGAACTCGGAACAAAGCGCTCGCGGAACGCCAGGCGAGCGTCTTACCACTACGCCACGGAGACTGCAGTTCAAGTGATTTGTTGTAGAGTAATACTATGGTTGGAGCTAGACCTTGAGGTTGAATCTGCAGAACATCGAAGAGATATCAGAAATGTGTATTATAAAAACACATTGTGTCAAGAAAGCACTTTGTCATATATATTTATTTTTTCGGGGACAGAAAGACTACACATGTTTCCACACAAAATATCCATAAGCACTTGTATTCAAAGATTTTTTTGGCAAATAACAGGTTCATCCATTTTGTCCATAATGACCGAGGCTGTCGGCACCAACTACACTGTATCATCGTGTAGATCCACTGTCTTGCTCTAATTTTTTTAATTATCAGGGGAAAGCACCAAGCCATTACAACTATATAGCACTTGGATGGGTTCAGGATAAGGATTTGGGATGGGACGTGGGGGGGAAAGGAAGGAATGGTGCCCAACCACTTGGACGGTCGGGGATTGAACGCCGACCTGCATGAAGCTAGACCGTCGCTCTATTGTCCAGTCAAAGTGGTTGGGTTGCTCTAGTTTACCATCTTTGTAAACCTACCTAACCCTTTACCTAACACAACAGAATAAAAAAAATGCAAACAATATATGTACGAAACTCTAGTGTTTGAATTGGTCATAGCTATTATTCATTATTGTTGTGATGCTTACAGTATAGTGAGTGTATAGAACACAAAATACGAAACATTATTGTTAATGAGACTTATGAAGTGTACATTAGGGCAGGCATAAATAAGGCGACCGTCTCCCTTGGTTTACCCCCTTATTCCCTCCCTATAACGGAGAATATATATATCACTATTACTGTCACTTGTTACTCACTAAGAGGGGTGTGTGTGGCGTGTGCAGGAGCCTGCTGGTTCCTGGCTCTGGGGTTCCTGGCGGCTCTCACGGAGCTAAGGAACAACAAGGAGCGTGTTGGGGCCGGGTACGAGTCGCCCCACAACACACACACACACATTTTGACCATTTCGGACACAAAATTTGTACGTTTGGTATATAATATATAATTGATTATATATTTATTTGTTTATTTATATACAAGAAGGTACATTGGGTTTATAAGAATACAGGGCATTGAAGTTTTTACTTTCTTGTAAAGCCACTAGCACGCATAGCGTTTCGGGCAGATCCTTAATCTAACATATAATTTTGAGAAGGTAATTTCTAGAAAAAAAATTAAAAAAAAAATGTTTACAGGTACATTGTAAGAAAGTATAAAAATACAGTTTAAGAAAGTATAAAAATACATTGTAAGAAAATATAAAAATGCAATTGTAAGAAAGTATAAAAAATACATTGTATAAGAAATTTGACAGAAACAAAGTAGGTACAGTAAAGTAAATTTAAGGGTTATCCACAGGTACATTGTAGCATAATTTGAGGATTATTGCAAGGTAATAAACTATGTGTATAACATGATATAAGATAACAGCAATGATTACAATGGTATAGTTGTATATGGCATAGGTACATATATTGAGGAATTGAAGCTTGGAGGGCTTGAAAAATTGCAGAATGAAGCCTTGAGGATAATCCTTGGGTGCCCTCGTACCACAAAGATACTTAATATAAGAAAGGAACTTAATATTCCGAGCGTTGTTAATCGTGTTACTGAAATTAACTGTCAAATTGGTATAAAAATGCTTAGGCTAACTCATCCTAACCCTTGCACAGAAGCCCTCCAGAATTTCTTTATTGAAGATCAGCATTGTTCCAAATGGATAACTAAAACTGGAACTCGACTCAGAATGAATCAGGTTCACAATTTGTACCAAGAGAAACAACAATGGCATTTTCCTGCACCGTAGGAGATTACACCCTTTCCAGTTTTAATCCCTCCCTTTCCACCCAAGAAGCAAATAAGAGATCAGCCCAAGCTTCGTCTTGAGGCAAAGATCAACGCCTTAAGCCATATTGATGCTCTGTCCACAGAGCATTCTCTCTCTCAAATCATATACACTGATGGTTCCCTACACCGCACCACGGGTGCAGCTGGAAGTGCCGTTGTTCTGACAATGGGCGATGGCTTGTACTTTGAGTGGGGAGTCCGTATAAACAACTGGGCCTCTACCCTTCAGACTGAAATATTTGCCTTGATCCGTGTAACTTGCACTGAAATGTGTACAAGTCTCCAAACTTGATACATTAATTGTAAAGGACTCGTTATCATCCTTAATTGCTCTCAACTCTTTAAGACATAACTAACATGCTCGTGTCCGAAGCTAGACACAAAAACAACAAAATTATTAAAGATGGTAACAGAGTCCATTTCATGTGGTATCCATCTCATGTTGGCCTCCGAATGCATGATAGAGCTGATAAGTTAGCCAAAGAATCTGCCTTTAAAGGAGCCGTTGAGTGCAACCTTGGATTGTCAATGAGCAATCTGAGAGCAGCAGTACGCCGAGAACTTCAACAAGATCTTGTAGATCTGAGGCAAAAGTGAAATCGACACCAGTAATTCCATCTATCATCATACTATCATGCAAGAGGAGCCACACGTCTATGGTTCATCCAATAAAATCAGCAGACTTCTAGATGTTACTACTGCTCGGCTTAGACTCGGTTACAAGTATCTCTGGGAATTCTCATTATCTGCCGATGTAGACCTGACCAAATGTAAACTGTGTCAACAAAATTATTCGCACACCCTCCGTCACTATGTTATGGAGTGCGAAAAGATAAGCGAGTTCAGAGACAATTCTATAACCAACGATGTGTCAATATTTCATTCAAAATGATCTGCTACCAGAAATTTTAGCCAAATATCCCCAGTTTGCTAACTGTTGGTAGTAACTAAGAGTGATTGTAACCTATCCACCGCTGCCCACTGGATGGGGGGCGGTGTGCAGGACAAAAAATAAATAATAAAAAAATAAATAATAAAAAAATAAATAAAAAATAAGTAATCAAAAATATTACTTACACTAAGGCTAAATAACACTAAAATAAATAAATATAAATAATTAAATATGTTTATTCAGGTAAGGTACATACATACAAGTGATGTTACATTAAAGACTAAATATATCACGATAACACTAAAGACTAAAACTTAATACTAATTGAGATTAAAGTATAAAATGAGTTAAGAAAAATATAAAAATATAAAAGGGGGGAACATGGCAAAAAATACAGTTTGGTCGACAGACAGCATTGTTTCAAAATAACAGACATGGGTTGACATTATAGGGGCCTATACTTATCTTATAGGCCTACTTGCCTCTTGCCAATATGGTTTTAGACCCCAAAAAAGCACTAACGATGCACTTATTAGTATGATTAACTTGATACATACAGCTCTTGATAAAAATGAGTTCCCTGTTGGGTTATTTGTGGACCTGCGTAAGGCTTTTGACACTGTCAACAACCAAAACCTTCTTCTTAAATTACATCATTATGGAGTCAGAGGTTACTTTAATTTACTTTACCAACTTTAATTTACAAAAAAAGCCTCCAGATTTTTAGCTCCTGCTATTGCATTGCTCTTCAACAAGTCACTTGAACTCCAAACCTTTCCAGATATTCTAAAAAAAAAAGCGAGAGTAACCCCCTGTCCACAAATGTGGTGATCCCACTGATGTTAACAACTACAGACCTATATCAATCCTGCCTAACTTGTCAAAAATTGTGCCTATGGCACCTCTGCTCTTCACTGGTTCAATCTTGCATTTTCTTCCATATCGTTCACTCCAGTACCTTGTTATTATTATTTTTCGATGTCCCTTATGTCGGAGTCGTTCAGAGTGAAGACTAGGTCGAGTCTCGCTGGTTCATCGTTTCGTCTCATCCTTGTGGGTTCCCTGACATGCTGGCTTAAACCGTTTTTTTGTCATCACCTCCAATATTTTAGCTCTCCACGTTTCCTAACCTCCATGCGGTTCCTTTTCCTCGTTCTCCCAGTCTAACCTTCCGTGATTGAAGTCCCCCGTGATGAGCAGATGGGATTGATTTCTACAGACAGCATAGGCTGCCCTCTCAATTATAGTGTTAACTGCCATGTTGTTTCTGTCATACTCCTGCCTGGTGAAGTGTGTGTGTGTGTGTCATACTCCTGCCTGGTGAAGTGTGTGTGTGTGTGTGTGTAATTACCTATGTGTAGTTACAGGATGAGAACTACGCTCGTGGTGTCCCGTCTTCCCAGTACTCTTTGTCGTATAACGTTTTGAAACTACTTACGGTTTTGACCACTACCACCATCTCACTTAGCTTGTTCCAACCGTCTACCACTCTGTTTGCAAAATAAAATTTTATAATATTTTTTTTGCATCTTTGTTTCTGTTTATTTAGCTTGATCTGTGTCCTCTTGTTCGTGATGTTGCAAGTTTCAGGAATTCCGCTCTGTCAATTTGGTCGATTCCTGTTAGTATATTGTAAGAGGTGATCATATCACCTCTTTTTCTTCAATCTTCTAGTTTTGGCATGTTTAACGCCTCTAGCCTCTCCCCGTAACTGTTGTTTCTCAGTTCCGGAAGCCATTTTGTAGCATACCGTTGCACCTTTCTCAGTTTCCTGTTGCGCTTGAGATTTAGGCACCATACAACTGCTGAATATTCCAATTTTGGTTTCACAAAATTCATGAACAGTTTCTTTAGTATTTCACCATCCATATAATTAATAGCAAGTCTGAAGTTGAAAGCGACGCATACGCTCCTTACACACACACACACACACACACAAGCAGTCATTATAACTTGGAGGATCGGTTATGTTGACCCACCCGGGGGTCTCATTATGCCGTAAGTCTGTAAAGAATACCAAGAGTTTTTTGTATCTGAAATTCGTTACGCTTTATTTTTGCTTCCCGTCTCACTAATCCAATTTACGTTTTCTGTGAGCAAATCAGCACACATTTTTCCTTCATATTTTTTCCAGTGTTTGCCTTAGTTGATGTGTGTATTACCAGGTGGGGGATCATTACTACAGGTGGGCAACACAGCACTAATGAACCACCTGGAAAGTTTACACCTTGCCCACTGAATGTATTTCTTCCTACCAACTTGAGCTTAAAGGAGTGGAGCTTCAGCTCCTTAGACTCCCATCATAGGCTGTCAGATCGCGTTTGAAATGACTCGAATCAACTTGTATCTGGTTTTGGGTAATTATGAGTGAGTCAGCCTCTACTGTCACTCATGATATTTTGCTCATGAGTTAAATATATGAAAGACAGCCAGCTCCCCCAGGCTGCCAGTGTTCCCGCCAGTTCCCCCAGGCTGCCAGTGTTCCCGCCAGTTCCCCCAGGCTGCCAGTGTTCCCTCCAGCTTCCCCAGGCTGCCAGTGTTCCCGCCAGCTCCCCCAGGCTGCCAGTGTTCCCGCCAGCTCCCCCAGGCTGCCAGTGTTCCCGCCAGTTCCCCCAGGCTGCCAGTGTTCCCTCCAGCTTCCCCAGGCTGCCAGTGTTCCCGCCAGCTCCCCCAGGCTGCCAGTGTTCCCGCCAGCTCCCCCAGGCTGCCAGTGTTCCCTCCAGCTCCCCCAGGCTGCCAGTGTTCCCGCCAGCTGACCCAGGCTGCCAGTGTTCCCGCCAGCTCCCCCAGGCTGCCAGTGTTCCCTCCAGCTCCCCCAGGCTGCCAGTGTTCCCGCCAGCTGACCCAGGCTGCCAGTGTTCCCGCCAGCTTCCCCAGGCTGCCAGTGTTCCCGCCAGCTCCCCCAGGCTGCCAGTGTTCCCGCCAGCTCCCCCAGGCTGCCAGTGTTCCCTCCAGCTCCCCCAGGCTGCCAGTGTTCCCGCCAGCTGACCCAGGCTGCCAGTGTTCCCGCCAGCTGCCCCAGGCTGCCAGTGTTCCCTCCAGCTCCCCCAGGCTGCCAGTGTTCCCGCCAGCTGACCCAGGCTGCCAGTGTTCCCGCCAGCTGCCCCAGGCTGCCAGTGTTCCCGCCAGCTGCCCCAGGCTGCCAGTGTTCCCGCCAGCTGCTCCAGGCTGCCAGTGTTCCCGCCAGCTGCCCCAGGCTGCCAGTGTTCCCTCCAGCTCCCCC